AGACAAATTATTAATTTATTAGAATATTTAGATAAAAATAACCAAGTTCCTGCAGGGCTGATATTTTTAGATGCTGAAAAAGCCCTTGATCAATTGAATTGGCATTTTATGTTAAGAGTAATGGAAGAGATGAATTTTGGTGAAAAGATATTGCAAGCTCTTATGGTAATATATCAAAAACAAACGGCACAACTTATCGTTAATGGAGGCTTGTCAGAGGTTTTTACAATAGAGAAAGGTACTAGACAGGGTTGCCCATTATCACCGTTGCTGTTTGTCTTAACACTGGAAATACTGTTGATCAAAATTCGAGAGTCGCAGGAAATTAAAGGAATAGAAGTTAATAAAAAAGAGTATACGTTAAGAGCTTTTGCGGATGACTTGGTTATCACTTTGTCGCAACCTACTTATTCTGTAGTAAAATTATTACAGTTGATTCATAATTATGGTTTGGTTTCGGGTTTTAAGATTACTGTTAATAAGACTAAAATTTTACCTAAAAATATGACTAGTCGGGAGAAGCAGACTTTGGTTAATTTGACGGGTTTTGAAATTGTTAATAAGGTAAAATATTTGGGGGTGATGCTATCTGTTTCTAATGCAAAATTATTTAAAAATAATTATGAAAGGTTGTGGGTTATGGTACAGAGAGACTTGAAGAATTGGGAAAAGTTGCAATTATCCCTCATGGGAAGAATTGCAGTGATAAAAATGAATATTCTACCCAAGTTTCTCTTTTGTTCCAAATGATACCGATTTGAAGAATGAGATCAATTTAACTGAGTGGCAGAAAGGCCTTAATAAATTTTTGGGCAGGGAAAAAGCCAAGGGTTAAGTTTAAAATTATGCAAGATTTCCGTGAGAGGGGAGGACTCAAGGTGCTGAATTTGAAATTATATTATGATGCGGTGGTTTTAACATTAGTTAGTGATTGGGTAAATTTGACAAATTCTGATATACTTCACTTAGAGGGATGAATTTACTTTTTGGGTGGCATGCCTATTTAATATTTAATAAAAAAATGGATTGGGCTTTTAAATCTCATATCTTAAGAATTTCTTTACTTAGGGTTTGGAGAAAATATTATAAAAGTGATTTCAAAGTACCATTATGGGCTATACCTTGGCATGCAATAGAAGGAATAAAAAGAGGGGTTAAAATGGATATGGTGTCCTATAGACAGTTACTTAAATGGGATGGACAAAACTGGCAGTTAAAAATCACGGGAAGAGTTAGCACAAGAAAATATTATTATTCTTGGTTCCAATATAGGCAATTATTAGACAGATGGAAGATGGACTGTAAGGTGGGTTTTCTCAGAGAAGATGAAAATCTTATTAAGCAAGTGAAGGATCAAAGACAAACCTACATTAAGAGGATTTATGGGGTTTTAGTTGAATTGGATTCAGAAACGGAACTAATTAAAGATTGTATGATTAGATGGCGCAGAATTTTGGTGAGCCAATTCCATTGGACACCTGGGAAACTATTTGGGTGAGAAATGTCAAATTACACAAGCACAGAACTTAAGGGAGAATTTTTATAAAATGTTTTATAGATGGCACCTTGATCCACAAAAAATGTCTTTTATGTACCCTGACTTACAACCTAAATGTTGGAGATGTGGTTGTATGGACGCTACTTATTATCATTTGGTGGTCGTGCAGAGAGATAAAAGCATTCTGGATTAAGATATGGTGGAATATCCAGAGAATTTTTAAAAGGAGGGTAAAATTTACTCCACAATTATTTTTGTTAGGTATAGTTATTGATTGTGATACAAAGGAGGTTATATTGATGTTAAAATTTGATTACAGCTGCGAGGCTGTTAGTAGGACAATATTGGAAGAAGGAATCTTTGCCTACATTGCAGGAATGGTTTCTTAAAGTGTCTCATTTGGCGGAAATGGCAAAGATTTCGGCTTTCTTAAAGGGTCAAACGCAAGAGAAATTTCTTGCTGTTTGGGATAAATGGATAAAATTCATACAATTTAAATTTGATATAAAAAAAATACTATATAGTTTTTTCATAATTTTTAACTTTATATATATATATATATATATATATATTATATATATATATATATATATATTATATATTATATATATATATATATATATTCTATTTTATATTCTTTTTTTTATAAATATAAATTTTTTTTAACTTTTTTTAATTAAGCCTATATTCTGCTCTGGGAGGCCCTGGGAGGGAGAAGGGGGGGTTTGGGTAGGGGTGGGGGAAGGGGGGTTTTGTTGGGTAATGTTTGTTTTTATTTGTATATGTTGTTTTTTGTTTTTGTATTGTCTTTTATTTTCTGTAAAATTTATAAAACTCTTTAATAAAAAAAAGAATATTAAAAACAAAACAGTGATTCCTGGGTAGACTCATATTAAACAATAAAATATACGAACACCAGGAAGTTATAAAACTATAAAAAGTTTTAATAAAACCAGAATAAAACCAAGCTTTCGCTGGCATCTGCCAGCATCATCAGGGTAGTGAGGTGAAATAGGGAGTGAAATAGGGAGAACCAAGAAGGAGAATGAGGTGAATAAACAACATAAACACAGACAGTGCACATCTAATTACGTGGAATTAAGGAGTCCCCCCGACTTACAGTTATGCAAAGAAGGGAGGAAGAGCTGCGGTACCAGCACAAGTAAGGAAAGTGAGGAAATTACAGCTTGCAACACAGAAACTACGATCAAAACGCAGGTGGATTGGCTGGGACCCATGACGAGGTCAAGAAGCCGGGCGCAAAGAACGCCACATCTATAAATAGCTTCTCCCATCGACTGGAGACTACCCTGATGATGCTGGCAGATGCCAGTGAAAGCTTGGTTTTATTCTGGTTTTATTAAAACTTTTTATAGTTTTATAACTTCCTGGTGTTCGTATATTTTATATATATATATATATATATATATATATATATATATATATATATATATATATATATATATATATATATATATAATCAACATTAAGAATAATCCAAAGCAAAGAAGAAAAACTGAGGTATTATAATTACACAAAAATAAACAAATACTTGAGCTTCAGCTCCCCTAACATCCTAGCCCTAGTGGGGGGGGGGGAAAGCCCTAATGCTCTAGGTCTGGGATATGAAACTGGCGGCCCGCAAGCCATATGTGTCACATGCAGGCCACACCCACCTCAGCTCCGCAAAGGCAGAAATTGTTGTGATATGTCACGATACATCACGTGACGTGATTTGAGTTTGACACCCGTGCTCACAGCCTTTCAGAATATACAGGGGGTTAGGGTCTTCTGAATCTCAGAGATGTGCGATAAGGCATGCCTGCTTAGTCCCACAAGATGACACTATTTAGTAGTGGGAAGCTAAGTATGTCCATCTGTTAGATCATTTTCTTTGCCCATTCTCTGCTTTTGCCAATTACCTGGTGTGGGAACATTTATTTAGTGAATATGAGTGAACATGTAAAAACAAATTTCCTTCCCCCATCAGTGTGGTCCTAAAGATTTTTTATTCCCAGTTAGACAATTTTCTTTTCACCTCATAATAGGATAAATTTGGAACTAGTGGTAATCTTCAATTCTAACACTTCACAGCATTTCTATTGATGTAGAAAACTAATGGCAATCCTTCAGGAAGGGTTGAATAGTCTCTGAGTTGGAAAATTTTGCTTTAAGCTAAGTTTTTTCAGGACATCTCTCATAGCATTCAGTGATATAAATTAGTAATGATTCTTGGTGACTTCACAAAGTCCTTATTGTTTTCTTGATATTAGTAAAGAGGTGGCTTGCTGTTGCCTTTTTTGACTTTCCAATCTAGTCTAAAGCCCTAGGATTTTCTGGTGGCTTCCCGTCCATGTAGTAACCAGAGATGATGTTTCATAGCTTTTCAAAATAATCTAGATCAGTGGTGGCGAATCTATGGCATGGGGGCCAGAGGCGGCACTCAGCATTCTCTATGGGCACGCGCACCGTCGCCCCAGTCCTAGGCCTTCAGCTGGGTTTTATAAAACCTTTTTGCTTTAGTCCTCCGCTGCCGTGTGCAAAAAAAAAGTTCAATCAATCAGTCAATTTCAACTTCTCGCAGGGAAAAAAAAAAAGATCTTGCAAAGTTGGAATTGATTGATTGAACTTTTTAGTCCCACCCAGTCTGCCGTTACCACTGCAGCCATGCCCACTCAATGGCCACACTCCCCCAATTGGCCACACCCAGCCAATGGGCCACACCCACCCGGCATCCGACAATGCATAAGTGGGTTTTGGGTTGCAGTTTGAGCACTCGGTCTCCAAAAAATTTGCCATCACTGCTCTAGATGGTGCTACTTGCTATGACAGTGGTTTGAGAAACAATATAACATATAGAATGCATTATATTCCACAACCTCATAGGAAAATAAGTAAGATGTTCAGTTTGTATTTCAGATTTAATTTTTTCTGTTACCCCTCTTGTTAATTATTTTGCAAAGATATATGATAACAACTATCTTTCATGCACATTAACTGTGTCTTCCCTTACATGGTATTAAGAGCTTTACCTTAAGACAACTTTTTCATAATAGGGATAAGAACTAAATGTATTATTCTAGATCAGATATGTCAAACTCGCAACATCACATGTCGCGCAACGTATCAGGACAGTTTTGCTATTGCCAGCAATGGGGTGGGCACGGCTTCCACGTGATTCATCCGCCCATGGGCCGGCAGTTTGACACTCCTGTTCTAGATGCTCAGCACATGAAATTATTTTAGATGTACCAGGGTTGGTGACTTTTGAAAGCAAAGTTCTCATTGAAATGAATTCTAGCCTATGCTACTTGAAAAAGTTTTCCATTGTTTCTGTGTTTCATTACTTACAAGGTGAAAAATACATAATAGTTTTGTCTAATTGCATATTAACAATAAAACATTGATCAGGCTATGCTTCTTTTGACTTAATATGTTTTAATATTTTTATTATTTGGATTAGGTATTCTTTGAAGTACTGAAGATATTAACTTTCTTTCAGGAGCTACAAAATACACAGATAAAGACAATGGAGGGATGCTTGTGTGGTCTCCTTATCATAATATTTCTGATGCCAAATGTAAGTTTGATAAACTGCATTAAATAGAATCCTGGGAATTAATATGTATAAGGGTTACATCACAGATTATAAATTGCAACATATAAAACATTTCATTGCACAAATTAATGTGAAACTGATGTGCAGGTGATACAAGCATATATACATTTTGCTCTAAATGTATATATCTGATCAGTCAATAATCAGTTATTATCTGTCTGTGGATATTATATTGATTTCTATTTGAAAATGTTACTTGGAATTTTATAATGTGCAGAGCATCTCTGATGCATGTACTGCTTTAAAATGTTAAAATGCTTTTTAAAAGGTACATCTTGAATACTATTACAATTTTGTGTTTTGACCTCAGTGCAATGAATAAGTTAAATTTTCAGGATGTAATTGGCCTATCTAGTAAAAATTATCCAATCTAATAAAATATTGAAAATATATCCTTGCATTTCATATAAATACACTTTCTAAATTGACAAACATGTGACATAAAATCAGGCATAATGATAAGCAATAAAATCTGCATTAGCATACTGTGGGCTGAAACATCCTGCAACAGCTGACCAATTATATACCTGCTCAGTATTCTGATGCTTCTGAATCTGAAGTTTTAGATGAGGCATTGATTGATTGATTGATTGAAGTGTATGCTGCTGAATTATAATCAACTAATGATGGCTTAGAAGAAAATTAAGTAAAATCACTATCAAAATAAACTGAAGTAAATAACACATCCTAATAGATAATTACCAAATAAATCTAATTCCAGGTAACAGTCAGTTCCCGGGGGTTCTCTGGAAGGATACAGCCTATATTAGCTTCCAGAATAAATAAATGTATTAATCCAACATGAATATATGTATCCATATTGTTATGATCTAGATACTTAGAATTTTTATGTTTCTGCCATGGTAATTGAAGAATATTTTGTTGGTCAGAGGCTCATATATCTAGTATGGTGTCCTTGCATGCTACTATATATAGCCAATTCTATATATTGCATGATTGGCTTATGGATTCATGAATCCCTGTTCAATAGTCCCTTGCTTCAAAAGAACTTATAGATTCATGAATCCATGTTGATGTATTTTCCAGTTACCAAAAAAGGAAAGATTCCCAATTATATGACTGTAGGATTTAATTCTTTTAAGAGATATATTTTTAAGAGCAAAATGTTAAAAAAAATGGGGGAAATGACAGTTTAAACACATTTCAATTTTGTCCTACAGTGAGGGAAAAAATTATTTGATCCCCTGCGGATTTTGTACGTTTGCCCACTGACAAAGAAATGATCAGTCTATAATTTTAATGGTACATTTATTTTAATGGTGAGAGACAGAATAACAACAAAAATTTAGAAAAACCCATTTCAAAAAAGCTATAAATTGATTTGCATTTTAATGAGTGAAATAAATATTTGACCCCTTCGCAAAACATGACTTAGTACTTGGTGACAAAACCCTTGTTGGCAATCACAGAGGTCAGATGTTTCTTGTAGTTGGCCACCAGGTTTGCACACATCTCAGAAGGGATTTTGTCTCACTCCTCTTTGCAGATCCTCTCCAAGTCATTAAGGTTTCGAGGCTGACGTTTGGCAGCTCGAACCTTCAGCTCCCTCCATAGATTTTCTATGGGATTAAGGTCTGGAGATTGGCTGGGCCACTTCAGGACCTTAATGTGCTTCTTCTTGAGCCACTCTTTTGTTGCCTTGGCTGTGTGATTTGAGTCATTGCCATGCTGGAATACCCATCCACAACTCATTTTCAATGCCTTTGATGAGAGAGTTTCTTACCCAAGATTTGATGGTACATGGGCCCGTCCATCTCCCTTAGCAGAAAAACACGCCCAAAACATAATGTTTCCACCTCCATGTTTGACAGTGGGGATGGTGTTCTTGGGGTCATAGGCAGCATTTCTCCTCCTCCTCCAAACACAGTGAGTTGAGCTGATGCCAAAGAGCTTGATTTTGGTCTCATCTGACCACAACACTTCCACCCAGTTCTCCTCTGAATTATTCAGATGTTCATTGGCAAACTTCAGACGAGCCTGTACATGTGCTTTCTTGAGCAGGGGGACCTTGTGGGCACTGCAGGATTTCAGTCCTTCATGGCGTAGTGTGTTACCAATTGTTTTCTTGGTGACTATGGTCCCAGCTGCCTTAAGATCATTGACAGGATCCTCCCGTGTAGTTCTGGGCTGATTCCTCACCATTCTCATGATCTTTGAAACTCCGTGAGGTGAGATCTTGCACGGAGCCCCAGACCAAGGGAGTTTGACAGTTATTTTGTGTTTCTTCCATTTGCGAATAATCGCACCAACTGTTGTCACCTTCACACCAAGCTGCTTGGCGATAGTCTTGTAGCCCATTCCGGCCTTCTGTAGGTCTACAATCTTGTCCCTGAAATCCTTGGACAGCTCTTTGGTCATGCCAAAGAGAGAGTTTGGAATCTGATGGATTGATTGATTGCTTCTGTGGACAGGTGTCTTTTATACAGGTAGCAAACTGAGATTAGGAGCACTCCCTTTAAGAGAGTGCTCCTAATATCAGCTAGTTACCTGTATAAAAGACACCTGGGAGCCAGAAATCTTGCTGATTGATAGGAGATCAAATACTTATTTTACTCATTAAAATGCAAATCAATTTATAACTTTTTTGAAATGGGTTTTTCTGGATTTTTTTTTTTTTTTTTTTTTTTTTTTTTTTTGGTTTTGTTTTGTTATTCTGTCTCTCACTGTTAAAATAAAGCTACCATTAAAATTATAGACTGATCATTCCTTTGTCAGTGGGCAAACGTACAAAATCAGCAGGGGATCAAATAATTTTTTCCCTCACTGTAGATTATTGATATTTAATAAGTTTAAATATCTGCATCTCAGTTCAGAAAATTAATTGTTACAGTATTATAAAAATGGCATCAAATTAACAAATGCATCACATTTTCATGTTGCATATTTCAGGGCTTAAATAAAGTCTTCACCTTCGTATTCATTTGTAAATAAAGTCTGTCCTTCTAAATGAAATATTTTTGCTCCCTATTTTCTATCAGACATTCTGAGAATGTCACATTTATCTCTCCACATCAGTTTTATACTTTTAACTCTCTTCATCTGATTCTTCTCTTTCCTTACTACCTTATTTAACCATACAGAGATCTAAGCTGTTCTTCAATAAAGATCAACAGCCTTTAGGTGCAAAAAAGGAAACACTGCATTGAATCTCCTTGTATTGCACTCATATTTGAGTGTAATATTATTTCACTGAATCAGAAAAAAGCTAGAAGGAAGAAAACTCGAAGTACTTATATAGCTAATGAAAAGGTGTTTGAAAGCTCTGGTATAGTAGTGAGTTGGATTTTTGACTTTCCATAGAATTACTTCAAGATGAGCCTTTCTGTGCTTATTGTTGGATTTCTTACTGCCCTTGAATAACACTGCAGAATTGCAGTTTTGATGAACAGCTTTTTTCCCTTCCTATAGAATCTTTTCAGTATATGCATTTTTTTAGAGATGCATAGAGTTGAAGCAGGATATAAAGATAAATAAAACTATAATGAACATAAGTAGCACAAATATTATTTCAGTAATATTTAAATAAACCAAAAAGGAATAATATGTAATGGGGATCTATGATCCTAAAATGTGGGGGGTTTTTTGTAAATATATTAGAAAATAATTCTAGCATCATTCTGTTACACAGTGGATGAATATATTGCTATAGCAAAGGAAAAACATGGATACAATGTGGAACAGGTAAGAGTTTTAAAAGATTATCAGTAGTACAAGACAAGTTAGCATTTTTCTTTGCAAGGCTTTGTTTGATAAGTAAAACTATATAATCATAAAATAATCAACACCTCCTTGATAGAGGGGTCTTTCCCGCAACCTTTAAAGGAAGCGGTGGTGAGGCCCCTCCTCAAGAAGCCTTCCCTGGACCCAGCTGTTTTGAAGAACTTTTGTCCTGTCTCCAACCTCCCTTTTGTGGGGAAGGTTGTAGAGAAGGTGGTGGTGTCCCAACTCTTGCGATCCTTGGATGAAACTAATTATCAGGACCCTTTTCAATCTGGTTTCAGGCCCGGCTACAGCACTGAGACTGCTTTGGTCGCACTGACCGATGACCTCTGGCGAGCCCGGGATAGGGGTCATTCCTCTATCCTGGTGCTTCTTGACCTCTCAGCGGCTTTCGATACCATCGACCATGGTATCCTTCTGCGTCGTCTCGGAGAGGTGGGGGTGGGCGGCACCGTATTGCGGTGGTTCTCCTCCTACCTCTCTGACAGGTCGCAGTCGGTGTTGGCGGGCAGACAGAGATCGACCCCTAGGCGCCTCGATCATGGGGTGCCTCAGGGCTCGGTCCTGTCCCTCCTCCTTTTTAACATCTACATGAAACCGCTGGGTGAGATCATTCGGCGACACGGGGTGAGGTATCATCAGTATGCGGATGATACCCAATTATATATCTCCACCCCGTGTCCTTTCAGTGAAGCAGTCGACGTGATGTGCCAGTGCCTGGAAGATGTGAGGGTCTGGAGGGGGGTCAACAGGCTTAGACTCAACCCTGACAAGACCGAGTGGCTCTGGGTCTTGCCTCCCAAAGGTCAACTGGATGGTCCATCATTAGTCCTGGGGGGGGTAAATTTAGCTCCCTCAGTGCAGGCACGCAACTTGGGTGTCCTCCTGGACTCACAGCTAAATTTGGAACAACATCTATCGGCTGTGGCCAGGGGGACCTTTGCCCAGGTTCGCCTGGTGCACCAGTTGCGGCCTTATTTGGACCGGGAGGCTTTACTCACGGTCACTCATGCCCTTGTCACCTCAAGACTGGATTACTGTAACGCGCTCTACATGGGGCTACCCTTGAAGAGCGTTCGGAGGCTGCAGTTGGTTCAGAATGCAGCCGCGAGAGCGATTGTGGGCGCGCCAAGGTACGCCCACGTGTCACCTATCCTCCGCGAGCTGCACTGGCTTCCTGTGGGTCTCCGGACGCAATTCAAGGTGTTGGTTATCACCTTTAAAGCCCTTCATGGCATAGGGCCAGGTTACTTACAGGACCGCATACTGCCGCACAGTTCCCAGAGACCGGTGAGGTCCCACAGATTGGGCCTCCTTCAGGTCCCGTCGGCCAGACAATGTTGGCTGGCGGGCCCTCGAGGAAGGGCCTTTTCTGTGGTGGCTCCGACCTGGTGGAATCAACTTCCCCCCGAGGTTCGAACTACTCCCACCCTGCCGGCCTTTAAGAAAGCCATTAAAACTCTCCTGTTCCGGCAGGCCTGGGGCTGATGTCCCCGGGGGGGGGGGATATGATCGGACACGCTGTATGAATGTATTTTATTGTTTTATTGTCATATTATTGTTTTAATTTTGTATGCCGCCCTGAGTCCCTTGGGATTGGGCGGCATATAAATTTTAGAAATAAACAAATAAATAAATAAATAAAATAGTGTCTATTGTTTTAGAAAACAGAGAGGAAAGAGAAAACAGAGAAGTAACATTCCATCTTCTGTTTCTTCTAAAGGAAAATTTTAATCTGTTTCTGAAAGTAAAGGGGGAAAAGGGGCATTCAAGTATCCCCAGGGAAGAGTTCTATAATAAAAGGGTCATGGGTAAAAGTCTCACTTCTTATATCAACTAACCTAACTTCCAAAATGAGTGGAATGTAGTGTTAAACTTCAGATATGATTTGAATATGAAAAGGGAAGATCTTCAAATTACCTCAATGTCAGCGTGTTTAGAGAATGAATGAAGCCTGTGGCCAATTAAAATGTCAACTTCCATTAGATCTAGCCAGCATTGTCAAAGATGATGGAGCTGAATATTTTAATCCCAAATTACAGTTTTATTTATTTAAACAAGTGTAAATATTATTTAAGTTCTATAGCACAACAGATACTCTTCAAAAAATCTACTTGAAACTTCTTTGTGAGAATAATTCAATAATTTAGAAAGGGCAAAATTCCCTTTTTTAAAGTAAACACTTTGAACTTGGTTATGTAGAATATAAGCAGAAGCAAGGGATTAAATGGTTGCAACCTTGTTTGCAACAATATACTGTACAATGTGAAGCTGTGTGTTTCCTTTTTTTTTTTACATCAGAATATATAGCTTGTATTGGAGAAAGTCAAAAACATTAAGTGCAGCTAGGTGGGTAAAATGTGTCTTCTGACACACCCAGATATAATCTTGCACATCATTAAGATAACATAAGAAAGTAAAAGGTCAGTATGGCACACCATGAAACTTATACCTGCTTGGTTTTTTTTTTAAAGGCACTTGGAATGTTGTTCTGGCATAAGCACAACATTGAGAAATCCCTTGCAGATCTCCCAAATTTTACGCCTTTTCCAGATGAGTGGACAGTTGAAGATAAAGTCCTTTTTGAACAAGCTTTCAGTTTCCATGGAAAAAGCTTTCACAGAATTCAACAAATGGTAAAGAAATAAACTGCTGATACCCCCACCCTTCAGAGTATTTCACAAGGGTCAAGAGAGTAAGTGGTATAGGATTGAAGACAGTGGCTAAGGCAAACTACAATATGGCATGCTAAGAAGCACTTTTTTTCTTTCCCAGATAAAAAAATAATCTGTTTTATTATGATCTAATGGGCATATACAGAAACTACTGCGAAAGGAAAAATTCAAATTCATTGAAATAATACAATAATGATGCTATAGAAAAACAGTTCCCCCACATTTTAAGATTCTCCCAAGAGGAGTTCAGAATTATCCAGAATAAATGACATAAATTTATAGAATATGGAAATTAATAAAAAAGATCTACAAACATTAAAAGAAATTTAAAACATTACAAAATGGATGAAAAGATACAAAATCATATTTCCTGTTGATGAGTATAAGAGCATCAGAAGCAAAAAAAAGTGAAGTGAAATAGGAAATAAGCTCTCATTAGGAAAATTCACACACTCAAAGTACTTGTCTTTGTTCTGGGGAAAGAAAGCAGGATCATTGCATAAAGCTGCAAAATCCAAGTGATGCAAATGCACTTACACAGTCTCTTCTTAAAATCAGGCATATGTGTGTGCATATAGAGCAGTGGTTCTCAATCTGTGGGTCGGGACCCCATTTGGGGTCGAACAACCATTTCGCGGGGGTCGCCAAACAACGCAGTCCGCCATTTTTTTCCCCTTTTCCTTAGCTGTGCTATTCCCTTTTATTCTATTGGCTTTTGAAAGCCAATAGAATAGAGTCTCTTGAATAGAGTCTAATTCTATTGGCTTTCAAAAGCCAATACGAATTGTCCAGGCTGTCTCTGCCCTGCTGAGCCCGCCAAAAGTCCCATTCTGCAAACGGTGCTGCAAGTTGTCTGAAGCTTCCACCCCTCCCTGCTGAGCAACTACTAAAAATGTAAGTAAAAGAGGGCTAGGGGTGGGAGGCCGGCGGGCACAGGGAGGGTTGCTGGCACGCATGGGGCCCGGCGGGTGCCTTACCTCCCTTGGGCTGGGCCAGCTGGTGGCCCAGCCGGTGGTCAGCCTGCACCATCTCTGCCGCTTGCCAGCTACGCCTCGGCTGGCGTAGGGGGCGGCACCATGCATGCGCGGCACTCCCGGACAGGGAAAGTCCTTGACTTACGACCGGTTGGGGGTCACGGCATTAAAAAGGTTGAGAACCACTGATATAGAGACATACACATACACACAGAGAGAGAGGGAGACAGAGATTATATTGATTTATAATATTTGCAATGATTGTTACTGGCTAAATTGTGCTTTTGGTGTGAATTAAAACTGACCATATATAGTACTTAACTAATTCGTGGAGTACATTTTGGTGTGTTATTTATTCTTTTTCATTTTAAAAGGTAAAATCAACATTTATTCATTCCAAATTTCTTTTCTTCAGTTGTGAAGATGTATTTAACAGTAATATAAATCTGTCTTCCAAGTTCCATCCCTTAACAGAAGCTAGAACTTGAGACAACTTTAGCTTTAAAAAATAAATATTACAAGTAAAGGGAAAATACTTGTTAATAATTAGTAATAGATTTATAAAGCTAATGCTATTTCATCTGAATTAATGATTAAGGTAAATTCCACTTTCTAAGATTAAGAAATAATAGACATAAATACCCTATTTTCCATCAAAAGAGGACCCTTGATGGCAGTGTTTCTCAACCTTGGCAACTTTAAGATATGTAGACTTCAATTCCCAGCCAGAATGGTGACTCGGAAAGTTTGGAATTTGAAGTCCACATATCTTAAAGTTTAGAAAAACTACTCTGTGCAGGGTGTTGGGGTTTCTATATAACAGTTATAAAACAGTAAAGAATCAGTCTAGAAAAAAATCAATCTTTTTCTTAACTTTTTATCTTTTTCCCTAAATATTCTAATTGACTTTTTATTGTTCCTTTATTAAACAAGAACAATTCACAGATATCATTCAGTTGGAAGAGTTATTTAATTAATATTTCCTTTAAGGAAGAACTAGCTTCCATAATTCTATCCGACTTAAAAGAGTTCTCAGTTGCCTTCCTCAGTGGTATATGGTCCAAGAGGTTTATTAGAATAGCTCTCTGCAATTCAGCAAGCATGCTTGTCTGGTTCTTTGATTTTGGAAAGAGATCCTTCTCAAGTTAATGCCTTGCTCACATTGTTCCAGGGTCAAAAGGATATGGTAAAAAAATGTGTAGATTAATATTAGCTATCTGTCACATTTATTTCTCCTGAATGCTTTATTTCCCATATGAGTACAGATACGGAGATATTATAGAAAAATGAAATTCGCCATGTGAATATTTGCTCGGCTTGGCATAAGTTGCCATAGATATAATTTCTATATAATCACTTGCCCAGTATTGTTAGTCCCTTTCAAAGCCTCAGATTTACATGTATCACTGAGCACATTACAGAACATTGTCTTTGGTCATTCCTTTTTTAAACATAAAATTAAACATCTACTGCCAAATTCCAAGTGTGGCCCAGATTTTATATTTCTATAATGTGTGAGTGAATTTAAATTTAATAAATGTTCAGACTTGAACATTGGGCGTTATTTAACAAAATGAAGTTCAATGGTGAAAAAAGTAAGATTCTACATTTAGGCAAGAAAAACCAAATGCACAGGTATAGTATAAGTGGTACCTTGCTCAATAGTAGTAACTGTGAGAGGGATCTTGGAGTCCTAGTGGACAATCACTTAAATATGAGCCAGTAGTATGCTGCAGCTGCCAAAAATGCAGCACAGTGCTGGGCTGTATTAACAGAGGGATAGAATAAAGATCACGTGAAGTGTTAATACCACTTTACAGTGCCTTGGTAAGGCCACACTTGGAATACTGCATCCACTTTGGGTCACCACGATGTAAAAAAGATGTTGAGACTCTCAAAAGAATACAGAGAAGAGCAACAAAGATGATCAGGAGACTGGAGGCTAAAACATATAAGGAATGGTTGCTGGAATTGGGTATGTCTAGTTTAATGAAGAGAAGGACTAGGGGTGACCTGATAGCAGTGTTGCAATATCTCAGGGACTGCCACAAAGAAGAGGGAGTCAAGCTATTCTCCAAAGCGCCTGAAGGCAGGACAAGAAGCAATGGATGGAAACTAATCAAAGAGAGAAGCAACCTAGAACTAAGGAGAAATTTCCTGATAGTTAGAACAATTAATCAGTGGAACAACCTGCCTCCAGAAGTTGTGAATGAAGTTTTTAAAAGACTGGCCAGCCATTTGTCTGAAAAGATATGGGGGTTTCCTGCCTGAGCAAGGGGTTAGACTAGATGACCTCCAAGATCCCTTCCAATTATTATAATAATAATAATACATAAAATGCATAAATAAATATAACAAGGGATTCATATAAATATAATGCTTTAATATTTGAAGTTGTATAAAGCCTGTGAGATAAAACAAAAAAGCACTTAAAATCTTGGAGACAAGCTATGTCAAAAGCTAAAGAACGTCAAGATAAAAAAATGGTATAATACATACAAACTCGGTTATATAATTTCATTAATCATTTTTTGTTTTAATAGATGCTTGTAAAATTTTTTCTTATCATTATGAAACTATACTTAACAATTTATGGATCTAACTCTTGCATACCTGCCTACCTTATTTTTCTCAATAAATGTGTATATAAGGAAACAAAATTGTAGCAAATGGGCTTTAAATGTGTACTTTATTTTTTATGTTTTATTCACACTAAGGAATGTTTTTTATATTTAAAGAACTTTCTATTTTACTATTAATCTTCAATAATATGTATGTATTTTGTTTATAAAATAGCACCTTATGATTTTTTTCATATATACAAAACTATGTGCCAATTTTTCCATAGCATTTATAACTAGAGTTTGCATAATCTTACCATGTTTCAGCTTCCAGACAAGACTATTGCAAGCCTTGTAAAATATTACTATTCCTGGAAGAAAACACGTTCTAGAACAAGTTTAATGGACCGCCAAGCTAGAAAACTAGCTAATAGAAATAATCAAGGTGATAGGTAAGCAATGCAATATCTGTTTTAAACAAGTAATCTGTTTAGAGAAAGTAGGTGTTCTGTTTGTTTCTGTCTTCCTTTGACTGTTTCTAGTTTAATAGGTTCTATGCCAATTTTGCCTATTTCCATGGTTTCTAGTTTGTTGAAAGTATTGGTTCCCAGGACCGCAAACATTGAAATTCTGAAAGTTCCCAACATTTCTGGAGGACACCCAGTTGGGGAAAACTGTTCTATTTCTCTGTACCTGTTTTTGTTAAGCAGATGGAAATCCCACTTCTTTACATCAGAGCATAGAATTTGTTAAAATTATAGCAACAGATATTTTTGTGTTGTTATAACCAATGAAAATAAAATGCTGTACGCAGCATGTTCGACCTTGTGGTCTTACATATTTAGTTCTATTGTTAGAAATAGCTGAACAGACACTTCTTAAAGTAACCCTCCCCTCAAATTTGAAAAATATTTAGACATTTCTAAATACCTTGCAAGGTAGAGCAAAGTTCTTTAAGATTTATTTACAGAGCCTGTTTCAATAATTACATGGATTTGTTTCGATAATTGATAAAGCAATATCATTAAAAAAAACACATAAAAGCAATTCTCATATTTTTTCCAATGGATACATACAAGACCACAGCAGTTGATTGTGACTAGTGAACAGTAGTCAACATTTCTGTTTCACACTAGTCTTCATTTGTAATTGATTCAGATTTCTGAACAAATAACATATCTATAGTTTGGGGAATACTACTAGTACAGATACTGATTTTTCCCTCAACCTTTTTGCTAGTGTTGACAAGGCAGAAGTGAATGTTTTTTCCTACCCATCTTAATATTTCTGGTTGGAGCAGAACCAAGTATTTCAATAATCTCTTAACCATTCCAAAGCAGGTATTAGACGATTATTACGTTTTATAGTCTTAGAGAAGGTATGCTTAATTGTAGATTTCTTGTAAAATGAGTAGGGGTTTTTAACAGTCTTGCACCTTGGCCTGAGATACTTGAAATAAAGAGGAAATGTTTAAATTTGTTTAATGGGTTTGGCTAGTCTAAAGAAAAGAAGAAATAGGGGAGAGATGATAGCAGTATTCCAGTATTTGAGGGGCTGCCACAAAGAAGAGGGGGTCAAGTTATTCTCCATGCACTAAAGGGCAGGACAAGAAACAATGGTTGGAAACTGATCAAAGAGAGAAGCAACCTGGAATTAAGGAGAATCTTCCTGACAGTGAAAACAATTAATCAGTGGAATAGCTTACCCCCAGAAATCGTGGGTGCTCCATCACTGGAGATTTTTAAAAAGAGGCTAGACAGTCACTTGTCTGTGATGGTATAGGTTCTCCTACTTGAACAGAGGGCTGGATTAGAAGACCTCTAAGGTCCCTTCCAGCTTCTATTCTATTCTATTCTATTCAGTATGGATATATTGCTTAAAATTCTTTTAAATCTGATATTCATATAATAAAGACATGAAATTTTAATAATTTGTAGTTGTGTATTTAAAAATGACTGCACTGGTAATATTTAAAACTAAAGTGAAATTTTATGATGTAGAATACAATAAACACAAAGTCTATTTGAGCACTTAGGGCAGAAATTGAGTAGTGAAAATAAATATTGACTAATCATTTTCAATCCTCAGCGACGATGATGTTGAAGAACCTCACCCTATGGATGGAAATGATAGTGATTATGATCCCAAAAAGGAAAGTAAAAAAGAGGTAATACAAACTGAAGTTAGTCACCTAACTTAGGTTCTATTTTTATTATTATATTTTGGTCTTCAGACGCTGCAATCAGTGATAGGGATATTTAGCAACAATCTTTATCCTCTCCCTGCATTTATGAGCAGAATTTTAAGTTTTATGAGATTGCTGAGTCTGTCAGAGATTTAATGTAATTAATTTCTTTTCCTGAAAATACATTGGAATTTGTTTATTTAGAACATGGATATCTGTATCATATAAATGTATATTGATGCTTGTACTGATAGGTAGAAAATGTAATTTAATTATATTTCCTTCTAATGCGAATACAGTTATTCATACAGAAATCTCACAAATTAGTTATCATTTTAGAGGGTCATGGCAACATAAAGTTTGAGAACTCCCAACTTATCTGATCACATGTTAGCCATGTGGCCTGTTTTTGCCAAGGAAAATCTATGCAGTTGATTTTATTGTCTTGTCTGATCATATGTGATATGAGAACTATGTGTTAAGAGAGATTTTAGAAAGTTTGAATAATAATGCGATACAATTAATGTGATAATTTTTTTTAAAGCAAGGTATTGTGCTTAATTTTTTTTTAAAAAAATTTCAAACATTACAGGGGAATCATGAGCAGCCTGTGCAGTCCAGCAAAATAGGATTAGGTAGAAGAGAATATCAAAGTTTGCAACATCGTCATCATTCTCAGCGCTCTAAATGCCGTCCTCCAAAAGGCATGTACTTAATTCAAGAAGACGTGGTAGCGGTTTCATGTAGCCCCAATGCCGCCAATACACTTCTTAGGCAGCTGGATATGGAGCTGATCTCACTGAAGCGACAGGTATTTTAATTACCAGGTTTACTTGGGGGAGGTATGTTTTTATATTTTAGGTTCTAATAAACAGAGAAATCTGAAACATGCCTGTTAAAAGTGAAATGGTAGATTGAAAATAAATTTAGTGTGTGAGTTTCTGGTTATTAAAATAGGTTCATGAGTTGAGGCTTCAGCATAACTGTTGGTTCTCTCAAGTCTACATAGATAGCAATAGCAATAGCACGCAGACTAACATATCGCTTCATAGTGCTTTACAGCAGAGGTCTTCAACCTTTTGGGCACCAGGAACCGGTGCCATGGAGAAAGCTTTTTCCACAGACCAGAGGGGGTGTGCTTTTGAATACTGTTTGCATTCTGAGTATGGAGCTTTGCTTGTTTGTGCGGCCCACTTGCTGGCATGCTGTGGACTGATGCCGGTCCACAAACCGAGGGTTGGGGAACCCTGCTTTATAGCACTCTCTAAGCGGTCTATAGAGTCAGCATATTGCCCCCAACAATCTGGCTCCTCATTTTACTGACCTCGGAAGGTTGGAAGACTGAGTTAGTCTTGAGCTCGTTAGGGTCAAACTCCTAACATTGGGCAGAGTTAACTTGCAATACTGAATTCTAACCACTGTGCCACCATGACTCTTATCTAAACTTATTAACTTCAATAAAAGTAAATTCATTGTTTCAGTTTTAGTGTGGTTTTATTAGTATCTTAATCCTGTATTGAACTTTTGTAGATAGTTTGGTCTAGAACAGCGGTTCTCAACCTGTGGGTCGCGACCCCATTTGGGGTCGAACGACCATTTCACGGGGGTCGCCAAACAATGCAGTCCACCATTTTTTCCCCTTTTCCTTAGCTGTGCTACTCCCTTTTATTCTATTGGCTTTTGAAAGCCAATAGAATAGACTCTTTTGAATAGAGTCTAACTCTATTGGCTTTCAAAAGCCAATAGGAATTGTCCAGGCTGTCTCTGCCCTGCTGAGCCCGCCAAAAGCCCCATTCTGCAAACGATGCTGCAAGTTGTCTGCAGCAAAGGCGAGCTGTCTGGAAGCTTCCACCCCTCCCTGCTGAGCAACTACTAAAATGTAAGTAAAAGAGGACCAGGGGTGGGAGGTGGGAGGCCGGCGGGCGCAGGGAGGGTTGCTGGCGCGCGTGGGGCCCAGCGGGTGCCTTACCTCCCTTGGGCTGGGCCAGCTGGTGGTAGCCCTGCGCCGTCGCTGCCCCTTACCAGCTACGCCTCGGCCGGCACAGGGGGCGGCACCACACATGCGTGGCACTTCCGGGCAGGGAAAGTCCTCGACTTACAACCGGTTGGGTAGTCCTTGACTTACAACTGGTTGGGTAGTCCTCGACTTACAACCGGTTGGTCGCGGCATTAAAAAGGTTGAGAACCACTGGTCTAGAAGTTAAAGCAGCAGGCTAGAAACCAGAAGGTTTTGGGTTCTAGTCCCAGCTGAGCCCTTGAAGTCAACTGTGTGTCTTGGGCCAGTCTCTCTCTCTCTTCCCATTGTAGAGAAATAGGAGGAGGAAATTATGTTGGACTTGAGTTATTTGTAAAAACAATAAAGACAGGATATAAATAAATGTATTTGGTAAAGGTTCCCAAACTTTCTTGATTCATGGCACCTTTAGTATTTTAGTAATTTTTTCACAGCACTCCTAGTCTTGTAGTATACACAGCGTCCAACAGATGTCAAGTATCACTTTGTTATTCCACAGAATCCCTGTGAGTTTACTGTGGTATCCAAGAGTGTCATGCTGCAGTTTGGAACCATGTAGCATTTTGATTTCTAGTAGATTCAGTCCCTTTCAACTGGATAGAAAAAATGGTCTAGAAAAATAATAAAAGCGCACTCTTTCTAATGCTGCCCCATTTTCAGCAAGATAAATGTTTAAAAGGAGTTATGAATTTACATAAATACAAAATAGCATAGGGATGATAGAACATGGAAAAAGAAGAGAAAATAATGGTGATTCTATTCTGTGATGCTTAATCACAAGGACTTAATGAAGCTCTCCAATGCTTGAAGCAAATAACCCTGATTCTTAACTAGGTATAAGCAGATAACAATATTAGTCTCAGATTTTACATCAGGAATTCAAGATCTTGCTGGAAGCCACCATTTTATTTCTTGCTGTTTACTTCATAATTTCTATATGCCACCTTAATTAATATAGATTCTAGGTGGTACACCAAAAGAAAATACAATCCTACATTCACATTAATTCAATCAATACTAATATTTAGATAATCACACTCATTTTACTAACCCAGTTTATTCTTTGTGCATGGAAACAGGCAAATTGCTTTGCTCCTTGAGAAAAGCTTCATCTCTTCAAAATTTTATTTTATTTCATTTTTTTAGGGCCTTTGGTTTAATTTTCAATTAATCACTTAGCAGTTGATATTTACACTATTTTGTAGCAGCTAATTTTCATTCCTATTTTGTTCATTGGACAAGGTCCAGAATGCTAAGCAAGTAAACAGTGCACTTAAGCAGAAAATTGAAGGTGGAATAGATGAATTCAAACCGCCTGAGGTGAGTCACTGTGAAATGTAGGTAAATTTTCAGTATTGTTATTCTGCTAGGAACTGAAGACTATTCTGAAAGTATTTTCATTTGTGACAATTTGCTTTGATGAAAAAAGTTGATACGAACCCTATATAGGTTTTTAAGTGTTTAAAAAATGTATTTAAGACATTTTCATATATTTTATTGAGTGACAACCGTTCATTCAATGCAAGTTCAAAAGCAGATTTAATACTCATAAAACGAAGATTTAAACAGACCTTTTAATTACTTTCTGAAAGGATTGTTCCAACTGTACTTTCACTCTAGATTGTAGTCATTAGTTGGCATACAAAAATCCAGTGAGATTTTCAATGTACTTGCCAGTCTGTATGAGTGATTGTCTCATTTGCTTCAACTCTGGAGTGGACTAGGCCTATCAGATGTGTTGCTTTAAAAAAGAATGGAGACCGCATTTTCTTACAGGAAGGGCTTTAGCTCAGTAGCAAATCAATGCATTGCAGGCAGAGGATTCCAACTACCAAATGTCCCTATCATTTTCATGTAAGGTTTCAAAAAATTATTGTTTAAACTTTGGAGAATGGATGCTAGCTTTAGACCAGGGATTCCCAACCAGGGATGCAAGACAATATTCCAGGGGGTGCAAAAACATGGGTTTTCAAAAGTATAGTGTATATGTATAATTCGTTGCCGTTATTTTGAACTTTTGTAAGGGGTGCGAGAATATAGAAAAGGTATAGAAAATGTTGGGAGACCCTGCTGTAGACAATGTTTTGGATGTCAGCCGTTACTACTTTAACTAGCATACCCAGTAGCAAGGGCTTGTGGGAGTTGTGATTCAGAATATCTAGAAAGCATCAATTTGCCTACCACAGAGATAGACCAAGAATCTAATGTTTTAAAATATATTTTTGTATTTCTAATTCAGTTCATGGAGTTCTAGGGAAACATCCTGAGCTACTAAAATTGACAAATGTAAATCTAGGTAATTGAATTGAAAGGTGGTGTTGTGGCTGAAATTTTCAGTTGTTTTTAATAGTTTGCTGTGTGCTGTCATTCTTTATTTCTTAATAGTCAAATCAAAAAATAAATGCCCGTTGGACAACAGAAGAACAACTTCTTGCAGTTCAAGGTACACTAGTGTTACTAATATTTTCTTTCAGGTTGTAATTCTTGATACTGTGAAAACATTTTTTTTTTTAAATGTAGCCATATGTACTTGTGTCTGTTGTGGCAGGAAAGAGTAGCAGCTTGGGAACTTTTAGTGTCAGGAGATTCCCCTCAATATTCATCCAAAGGGTTGGACGAAGCAATGGAGGAGTTATGATTTGCTTAACTAAAAAGCTTTGAGTCAAATAAATGATATTGTGAATGAACTGCGGTACTTTTAGAAGTAGTGATATTCACAATATTACAATTTGATCAGTAAAGTATACCAACTGCTAACAATATTACAATGTTTTCCCCTGTGATCAATCCTTATAGAAGCACTTCTGCTTTTAAAATTGGGGTTTCCTGTCACCTATAGAGGGCATACATATCATGCAGATTTCTGCTTATTAACTTGAATTTTATTTACTTATTTTGTCTTTTTTAGGTGTCCGCAAATATGGTAAAGATTTTCAAGCTATTGCTGATGTAATTGGCAATAAGACTGTTGGCCAAGTGAAGAACTTCTTTGTAAACTACAGGCGTCGTTTTAACCTAGAGGAGGTATTGCAGGAATGGGAAGCAGAGCAAGGAACCCTGGCTTCTAACGGTGATGCTTCTGCTTTAGGAGAGGACACAAAAAACGCTAATGTGTCATCAGGAAAAAGTACAGATGAAGAAGATGAGGTGTGTTTCTGTGTATCAAATAATAAATAAGCTTACATTTCCTATCACAAAATGTAATATTTAAGTTGAAGAGGAATGCACCAGTGTTGGAAGCTTATTGCGTCCTTATTTGTAGAGATCTTTCTTCATTGTGATTGTGTTAGCCAAACACTTCCAATCTGGGCTATCTCTGGTTCTTCCCATACTACTAATACAGAAAACATAGCTGAATAATCCTGAATATTATTAGATTTTCTTTTTTTATATATATTGAATATTTTATTTCCTTATATTGCTAAATAATTTAGAAATGGTTGTTTTTTAAAAAAGAGGTTTCTTAACTACAAATATGGCTACACTAACAGTGCTTTCCTGTTTCTGGAGGTAGCGGATACCCAAACTGCATGATGATGAAGAATGGCTGCTTTTACATATCTTATCACTTTATTTACAGGCCCAGATCCCTCAGACACCTCAGTGTGTAGGGTCTTCTCCACCAGCCCAGGTGTCTACTCCAACACCAGCAACCCCTGTAACAACTTTGAACCAGCCTCCTCCATTGCTTCGTCCAACCCTTCCAGCTGCTCCAGCTCTCCATCGTCAGCCTCCACCACTACAGCAACAAGCTCGATTTATTCAACCAAGGCCAACCCTAAACCAGCCCCCTCCACCACTCATCCGTCCAGCTAATTCCATGCCTCCTCGTCTAAACCCAAGACCAGCACTGTCCTCCACTGGTGGGCCACAGCCACCTTCACTTATTGGAATCCAGACAGAATCACAGTCCCCGCTACATTAAGCAAATAGGGCAGAACTATGATAATTAAAGTAGTATCAGTGTCTATTTCCTCAGCTAATGAAGAGGTGAAGGGAGGGAAAGCAAGCTTTCCACAGTATTGGAACTGTCACAAAGAAGGTGGAAATGGATATATAATATATGAATGATCTTCTGAGCGAGAGAAACTTCAGTGCAGTAGATTATTGCAAAGAAAACCATGTCTACAAAGTCAGCATTTTACAAAGCTAACTTCTTTTTAAAAAAGAAAAGAAAATTCACTGCACTGTGACTTCAACTGGTTTTTACTCTATTTATTTTATAAAATCCTTTATATTTAACTTCATGGAAATAAACCATCTGGATAGTGAAAGCGTTTCAGTTTAAGATTCAAACAGGGCTGTAAATGTAATAAATTGGGGAAATTATTTTTACATTTTCCTATGTTAGGAGCGCAAGTATTACTGACAAGCCTGCCATTCAGATTTTGACAGATACCACCACTTCATACATTTTTCTAGGCTTGTATTTTCTATATTTCTTCATAAAGTACTTTTCTTCAGTCTCCTTGTTGGAAAGGTTTTGAAGAGTGCAAAGCTAAGGTACTAAAGAGGTTCAACTATATATGTGGTCTTCTAATACTGGAAACATGACTTACTAGTGCAAACTCTGTGATAGACAGCAAATGGGGCTACCATTTGCATCCAACACTGGCAGCCAGGTGGCTAATAAAGTCACAGTTGTCTTCTTTTTAATAAACTTTGTAATACTACTTACCTGAAATTTTATTCTATTAAGTTCTGAAATAATTTGGTGAGGAATGCTGAATTCCATACGTATAGGGCAGGGGTAGGCAACCTTGGCTCTTTTATGACTCGTGGACTTCAACTCCCAGAATTCCTGAGCCAGCCATGCTGAGGGGAAAGGGAGAGGTTTCCAAGCTGAGCCATGCTGACTCAAGAATTCTGGGAGTTGAAGTCCATGAATCATAAAAGCCAAGGTTGCCTACCCCTGGTATAGGGGCCTGGTGAAACAGTCTAATATTAAGGATGTTTCCTCCTTCATTTCTTGAAATATCTCAGTCTCTTTTTGCTGTTCCTTGCCAGTGCATGTCCCCTCATTTTTTTTTTTCTTGGTATCAAAAACAGTACCAACTCATGCCTTACTTAATCAGCTGGAGTTTAACTGTTATAATCAAAGTGACAGGCTTTTAATTTTGGGCAAGAAATACCAAGCAATGAAAATCTATTTTCTGAAAGATGTGCATCTCTTTAATATAGTTGACTTCCCCACTTTTTACTAAAACAACAGTGTTTTAACTTTCAGAGTTAAAATTCTGGATGATTTCATGTATAGCAAAGCTGTATTAGTCTCTTATGTACTGCATCTTACACCTCAAATATCAAAACTTTTAGACTAACACCTTATCATGATTAAGGCGTTAAAGGGATTTGCCCATTAACTTTCATGTTTTTAATTTTTTAAAATTCTTATTTAAATCAAATTTCCTTTGTAGTATATTAAATAGAAATTCCTTCAATGGATGTCTCTTGTACATTATCTGTATCCAACCAGAGTGTTTGGTTTTTAATACTGGCTTTTCGGTGGGGGGGGAAGCATCACTATCTCTTGCCAGAATTCTTGGTACTTTGCTATATTTATCCTTTGGTTCTGATGTCAATATTAACCCACTGTATTCTTCCAATCTGCCATAGTCCTGTTTGTGCATTTTGGCATAACTCTCTAAATACCAAACTATTAACAATGCATCTTCAGTATTTAAATATGTAGATCAGGTTTCCCAGTGACTGTATTGTCTTTTTTTTTTTTTTTTTTGGCTAACTTTTGTCTTGTCTCTTGTTGCTAGAACTTCAGTATGCAGAAAATTGGGTGCTGCCATTTAAATGGCAATTTTAGACTATTGAAACTATAACTGGGCACTTGTGTGTTTCGGTATGATGGTATGGTATGTAGTATAATACTGCTTTACATACGCTATGCCATACAGTAACAAAATGTTTAGCATTTGTAGTACTGAATATGTACATAGCAAAATGTTGTCCTTTTAAAAAATTGTGTGCTTTCCAGATTATGTGCATACAGCTTGCAACGTCCTGTTTTGGGTAGGGGTTGTGTTAAGCAGTGTTTTTGCCTGGAGGAGTGAAATGCTTGCTGCTTAATCAAAGAATTAAAGTTTCCAAGGAATCTGTGTCTATTTTTATGTACCTTGTAATGGTTTAAGATACTTAGGCCCTATACTGTGATTCTCTTCTAAATTCATTTATATTTTTTTAAAGATTAGAAATAAAACTATACAATTTTTTTCATTTCAAAGAAATTTTCTTTTTGGGCAATATTATAAAAATCTAGTTTGACTTTGTATCATTTCTACAAACCACAATCTATTCATCTTGGTTTATTTTTGTCACTTTATGAAATGTAAAATATTTGCACTCCCTTTTCAGTTGGGCAAAAATTTATTTCTTACAGTGGTTATGACAAATGTAACTTTGCATCTTCTTTTTATGTACAGTTTTCAGTTACAATAAAGAAATATAAAAACTTTTAAATGAATGGCCATCTATAAGGCCTATGTGTATATTTGGAAAAAATATTTCTAGGCTAAAGTATTATGTGGTTGGAAAAGAGGTTTGTGACTATACATGCAGACTGGATACTTGATAATATCCTTTTTTAGTTAAGTGTAAATTAAAAATGATGGAGCACTAAATTGATATTGCAGTTATAATATATTCTTAAACAGAAAAACGTAAGGCCTATAAGACAGGCATGTGGGACACATTGTATAGCTTTTAGAATATAGGATTGCATAATTTTGAAATGGATGGTTAGCTTTACTCTTAGATCCATTATTCTGTCACATCTGAATAATATATGTAATAACATAATAGTAATAAAAAGTCAAAGATCAGAGAAAAGTATAACCACTCTGAGGTTAAGCTAATTGATGAAAGTTAAGAATACATTAGAGCAATCTTGAACTTTTCCAAGAGAGTTTCTGTAAAAAGTGGAGTATAAGCATAGAAAGGACTTCCGTCAAATCACTTTCTAATACTCCCTGGCAAAATCATTCAAAGTCTTGTGGCAGTCTTGGGTTTGCAAATTCATTTGCAGCACACATTTCTTCTTCATAGTTTTGCTTTCTATATTCTATCTTCCCTCAAAGGTGCCAAAGGTAACAATATGTGTAATCGCCTCTGATCGTTATGCAAATAGATTTAAAAGAGAAAGGAAAATTGAATAATAAAAAATGTTGTGTTATCAAGAATTTTCTTCCATATTTTTTGTTTACTTCTTCCCCAAGCCCAGTTATGAACACGGTAGATAGCTGGTTGTTTATTCATGCACATTTATATTGTTTATATCCTGTATTTTTATTATTTTTTTAAAAGCAAGATGGCAAACATACTCAACAAAGCACCTTTTATTTTCCCCACAACCACCCTATTGGGTTGAGAGAGAGTGACTGGTCCAAGATAACCCAGCTTACTTTCATGGCTAAGGTGGAACTTGAACTCACAGTCCCTTGCTTTCTAGTATGGTGCCTTAACCACCATACCGTATATTACCTTTATTTACAAAAATTTGACACTTTACTGCTTACATTTATATTTATTAAATTCATCTTGCTATCTAAAGTGACCAGGTGGCTTGCAGTAGGAATATGAAATCCAGGAATGTCTTATCAAGTTCTTTTTCTATTAACCATTTAATAATTTTCCATAATTAATCCAATCTAAATGAAGATTGGAAGCATACTGCATATTCACATTTCAAAAATCATGACAAATATGTGACTTACTAATCTGGTTGCAAAAATGTGCATGTTTTCACTATACCATGGAAAAAGGATCCCTTTAGATCAGAGGTCCCCAACCTTTTGGGCACTAGGGACTGGTTATGTGGAGAGAGGTTTTTCCCGCAGACCGAAGGGGGCGTGGTTTTGTGTGCTGCCTACATCCTATGGATGGGGTTTTCCTTGTTTGTGTGGACCAGTTGCTGGCATGCCGCAGCCCGGTACTGGTCCACAGACCGGGGATTGGGGACCCCCTGCTTTAGATCATTTACTAGTTCTGGAAATCCATCTAGCACACATTATTGTCCAAACAACATACACATATACAATACATATGTAGTAAAACAGTGAATCACGACAAGTATCTGTGGCACTTCAATCAAAATGACAAAAATAGTACTGTATGCTTAAGCAGACTCCACCCTTTTTGGACATGGGTGTATATTCTATTGCTTTCAAAATACTTAACCCTAAACTTCTATCTCCACTATTTATATATCAGTAGAGAGTATTCAGTTAATGATCAAATAATGTCAAACTTTATGAAGAATCTTTTAATATGTCAATTATCCAGGTTTATTCATTTACTACTAACACATAAGCAGTGGTAAATGAATAAACTTGGATAATTGACATATTAAAAGATTCTCCATATCGTTTGACATTTGATCATTAACCCTGTACTGTCTTTCATATATCCTTCATGTCTATTAAATCAACACCCATTGTGAAAAGTGATGCAGACAAATATTTATAAAATGTATGTCAAACATGGAGGAACCCAACATGCTTTTAGAATAAGTTATGATTTAAGAGGTAACACTGAGGCTGAAAGTTTTAGGCACGATGCCTGACTATTGAGCAAAGATTTTCAGCATCAGGTAAGAAAGGAATCATGAATACCAGCAACAAGAGGAAAACAAGTAAAAGAAAAATGAGTTGCTTTTAAGAACATAGAAACCACATGTAAATTTACAGATAAATTAGGGCTACTTAAATCCTACAAGAAAGACTTCTAATAGAGACAAAAGAAGGTAAAAGATGGAAATACTATACTGAAACTTCCGCACATGGAACTGTAGATTTGCAGAAAATTTGTAGAGATAAGGCAAATAAAGCATCTGATTCCTTTTAAAAATGAGCTAGGAGAATCCGTAGAGATCTCGGACTCCAAGGCAGCTACCTACCCTTATATTTGCTTCCATGATTGGAAGGGACTATATCGGTTAGTGTTCAAATGCAGGGATGGTCCACTGTCCGTTCCTAACAGCAGGTGGCAATGTAATCATTACTGTTTGAAAACTTAAGGGAGAGGGATGTTCTGGGCAGCCTGTTCTAGGCAGCTTGGGAACTTTTAGTGTCAGGAGATTCCCCTCAATATTCATCCAGATCGACCCACACCACACACACACAAATTTCAACTCTGACTCTCAATTCATTCTTTCTATCCTGTTCTCCTTCCAGAGGATAACGCATCGGCTCTTTTCTGCACCTAAGAGACTTTCAGATACGTGCGAACCATGATGATACTTCCTCTTAATTTTACCTTTTGCCAGCTAAACATGTCCACGCCTTGCTTAGGTTTGCTTAGGAACCTGCTCCCTACCCTGACTGAGCAACCTAACGGAGTCGCGCGTACACTCGGCTACACACAGAACCGAAGTCTAAACGCGGCCTTGCGCATGCTTACCTTGGAGCAACTGAAGTAACTATCAGCGATACTTCTGAGAAACAATGCCGCGGATTGGCTGAATCGAAGCTTCGCTGTCTGCCTTTTTTCACCACAAAAGGCTCCCAGGCTTTGGGAGGAGGAGGCGCCCAGAAGAAAAGGCATATCGCGAGCCCGCCTCTTCCGACGCCTCTAATTGAACGGGTGTGGAAAAAAATACCTCAAGTACAGGGAGGTGCGTCCTTCAGCTTAATTGCGGAGCTCGGTCTAATCATTCCTCTCCTCTCCAGCCTCAGTCTAATCTCCTCGCCTCACTTTCCCGGGTTACCTGTCAAGTGCGCCTCTGGCGGGACGCCTTGAAGGCTGCGGGGGACCCCTCGCGCTTGTACCGCTCGAAGGTCGGCGGCCGCTGCGGAAGCGAATGCGGGAGGCAGCGCGGACACGTTGAAACGCGCCGCAGGTAGGCAACCAGAACGCATTGCAAAGAGTGAGCTCTGTCCAAGACAGTTGCTGCTCCCTAACTTTGCAGCTCATTCTCTTGTTTTGGTGTATAAATTTTCCCCCTCTCAGTTGTGTAGTTGTGGCGGAAGCAACAAGCATTGACAGTGTATCCTGAGGTGTAACTGGAAAGGAGGAACTGATCTGCGAAAAGCCAAGCTTGACATCTCTTAAGATCGAGGCTATTCATTTCTGCTATAGATATTAAAATAGTTACTTCCTATTTCATCCCGTGTTGCAGTATCAGTATTTATATTTTTCTCTTCAATTTAGAGTAAATTGTTAAATATTCAGATATACAATTAAAACAAGAAACAGCTTAAAACTGCATACTTAAAATGCATAGAAGATACTGTAGCACTGAACAGAATGCTCAACAAAACAATAAATAATTTAAATTAGAAGAACAAGTATTGTTGATTTGATTAGAGGTACCACTTAATTGAATATATCTAAAAAGAAGACAACCCACCTTATCCCCATCAGCCCTAAGGATGGCAATTTCAGCTGAAACTAATCCTGGAAATTTCCTCCTCCCTATTAACTGTTTACATAAGTTACACTCATGCATAAAATAAATTTCTTAGAAGCCATACTCCTAAAAAGGCAAACTCAAGAGAAAAGAGTTAAACTAATGGTTTCTGGTGTTCATCTAAACAAAAAACCTGTAACTGATTCCCCATCTGTGTGTAACAGCTATACTCTTATTCATATGCAAACTACTCTCATATGTAAACAATTAAATGGGTCTCTTATTTTGCCAGAGATTGCCTGCAGTTCATAAAAGTTTCCCCATGCATTGCAACTGGCTATGTGCTTATATGATCATGCAAAAGAACTTGGTAATAGAGTATAATATGTTGACTTTCTATCTTATTATCGTCAACAAAAGCCTTTATTCAGATTAATATTTTCTGAGAGGTAAATGTGTTCATAGCAAACATTGATATTTTTTGGGTGCACTTGTCCCCTTTGAGTCATACAGAAGGAAACTCCTTCTCCCTTCATGCCATATCCTGCTTTGACAATCTGTGTTGCTTCATACTGTCTTCTGGTGTGAAATGAAAATTATGTCCCACTTTTGGAATGAAAGGTATGAAAACAACTATTTTCACATTCTCAGCAATATGTGTACTTTGGACAAAATATCTTTTCATCTACTATTCAGGTTGGTAGGCATGCTCTCTAAAATGTGGTAGTCCTATCTTTATAATACTTTGTATTTATATTTATACTACTATCAACTGTTAGCATAAACATGTTATAACTCTGTGTACAGTTTTTTAGATTGGCTTCTTAGTAAATATGTTAACACGTTTGGAAATTAAGTTTTAATGCTATTTGTTTTTCTTGTTAGCAAAGAAGTGTAATCCAGTGATGCTTTTTACTAAGAATTTATATTCTACAAACAGAAATAAAAATTCAAGTACAAAATCTGAGATTACATATATATGTCATTACGGTTTTTTATATAACTAATGATGTTTATGATTTAAACTGCTTTGAAAGTTTTAGTAAATGACTCTTTATTATAATTAGGTGCTTTTTTCAAGGACTGAGAAAGTCTTTCTTTATATACTTTCAAAATAATAAAAATACAACAAAATGTTTTAGAGCTATTTCTGGGAGTTTTGAATTATTGGAGTTGTATTTGTTTTTGTAATATGAAAATAATCACAGACTTGTAAAACCTAATAAGGAATATTAATTGTTATTAACAATTAGGATTATAGCTGCATATGCTTTGATATGTTAAGAACTGAATAAAACTAACTGAAATGTTTCACAAAATGCAGTTAATCTTAAAAGGTATTTTAAATTGCGTGGCCAGTGTTAACACACATTGTGAACTAAATATATGGTGATATGCCACATCAATATAGTACTTCATTTGAATTTGCATTGGGAAATCTTTTTTGATTATGAATTTTAATTAGCCTAGAAAGGTTCTCAAAGAGATAATTAACTGTATTTTCGCAAAGGAACCTAAAACATTTTAATTTGCCATAGCAGGCTCACTTATTTGTAGTTTTAGAACTTTTGTTGTTGTTGTTGTTGTTGTTAATTGCGAAGTCATGTCCGACCCATCGCGACCCCATGGACAACGCTCCTCCAGGTCTTCCTGTCCTCCACCATCTTCTGGAGTCCATTTAAGTTCATACCTACTGCTTCAGTGACTCCATCCAGCCATCTCATTCTCTGTCGTCCCCTTCTTCTATTGCCCTCAATCTTTCCCAGCATTAGGCCCTTCTCCAGTGAGTCCTTCCTTCTCATTAGGTGGCCAAAGTATTTGAGTTTCAACTTCAGGATCTGGCCTTCTAAAGAGCAGTCGGGGTTGATCTCTTCTAGGACTGACCGGTTTGAACGCCTTGCAGTCCAAGGGACTCGCAGGAGTCTTCTCCAGCACCATAGTTCAAAGGCCTCAATTCTTTGGCGCTCAGCCTTTCTTATGGTCCAACTTTCACAGCCATACATTGCAACTGGGAAAACCATGGCCTGGACTATACGCACTTTTGTTGGCAGGGTGATGTCTCTGCTTTTTAGAATGCTGTCTAGATTTGCCATAGCTTTCCTCCCCAGGAGCAAGCGTCTTTTAATTTCTTGGCTGCAGTCCCCATCTGAGGTGATCTTGGAGCCCAGAAAAATAAAATCTGTCACTACCTCCATTTCTTCCCCATCTATTTGCCAGGAATTGAGAGGGCCGGATGCCATGATTTTGGTTTTCTTAATGTTGAGTTTCAAGCCAACTTTTGCACTCTCCTTCTTCACCCGCATCAAGAGGCTCTTTAGTTCCTCTTCACTTTCTGCCATTAGAGTGGTATCATCTGCATATCTTAGGTTGTTGATATTTCTCCCGGCAATCTTAATTCCAACTTTTGATTCATCTAGCCCTGCCTTTCTCATGATGTGCTCTGCATATAAGTTAAATAGGCAGGGCGACAATATACAGCCTTGCCGGACTCCTTTTCCAATTTTGAACCAATCAGTGGTTCCATGTCCAGTTCTCACTGTTGCTTCTTGACCCGCATATAGGTTTCTCAAGAGACAAATGACATGGTCTGGTATTCCCATCTCTTTAAGAACTTGCCACAATTTGTTGTGATCCACACAATCAAAGGCTTTTGCATAGTCAATGAAGCAGAAGTAGATATTTTTCTGGAACTCCCTAGCTTTCTCCATGATCCAGCGTATGTTGGCAATTTGATCTCTAGTTCCTCTGCCTCTTTGAAATCCTGCCTGCAGCTTGTAGGATTTTAAGCATAATTTTACTAGCATGTGAAATGAGTGCAATGGTGCGATAGTTTGAACATTCTTTGGCATTGCCTTTCTTTGGAATTGGAATGTAAACTGACCTTTTCCAATCCTGTGGCCACTGTTGAGTTTTCCAAATTTGCTGGCAAATTGAGTGTAGCACTTTTACTGCATCGTCTTTTAAGATTTTGAATAGCTCAGCTGGAATACTGTCACCTCCACTAGCTTTGTTGTTGCTCAGATTTTCTAAGGCCCATTTCACTTCACATTCTAGGATGTCTGGTTCGAGGTCAGTGACCATCTCATTGTGGTTATCTGGGATGTTAAGCTCATTCTTGTATAGTTCTTCTGTGTAGTTTTGCCATCTCTTCTTAATCTCTTCTGCCTCTGTTAGGTCTCTGCCATTTTGGTCCTTTATCATGCCCATCTTTGCATGAAACGTTCCCTTCATATCTCCAATTTTCTTGAAGAAATCTCTGGTCCTCCCTATTCTGTTGTTTTCTTCTATTTCTTTGCACTGTTCATTTAAGAAGGCATTCTTATCTCTTCTAGCTACTCTCTGGAATTCTGCATTCAATTGGGTGTATCTTTCTCTTTCTCCTTTGCCTTTCACTTCCCTTCTTTCCTCAGCTATTTGCAAAGCTTCCTCAGACAGCCATTTTGCTTTCTTGCATTTCTTTTTCTTTGGGATGGTTTTAGTTGCTACCTCTTGTACAATGTTGCAAACTTCCATCCATAGTTCTTCAGGCACTCTGTCTGTCAGATCTAATTCCTTAAATCTATTTGTCACCTCTACTGTATATTCATCAGGAATATGATTTAGTTCATACCTGAGTGGCCTAGTGCTTTTCCCTACTTTTTTCAATTTAAGCCTAAATTTTGCAACGAGAAGCTCATGATCTGAGCCACAGTCAGCTCCTGGTCTTGTTTTTACTGACTGTATAGAGCTTCTCCATCTTTGGCTGCAGAGCACATAGTCAATCTGATTTCTATGTTGACCGTCTGGTGATGTCCATGTGTAGAGCCGTCTCTTGGGTTGTTGGAAAAGAGTGTTTGTTATGACCATCGTATTCTCTTGACAAAATTCTATTAGCCTGTGCCCTGCTTCATTTTGTACTCCAAGGCCAAACTTGCCTGTTATTCCGGTTATCTTTTGGCTTCCTACCTTAGCATTCCAATCCCCCATGATGATAAGGACATCATTTTTTGGTGTTAATTCTATAAGGTGCTGTAGGGCTTCATAGAACCGGTCAATTTCATCCTCTTCAGCACCAGTGGTTGGGGCATAGATTTGGACTACTGTGATATTGAATGGTTTGCCTTGGATTCGAATTGAGATCATTCTGTCATTTTGGGGATTGTATCCTAGTATTGCTTTTCCTATTCTTTTATTGACTATGAAGGCTACTCCATTTCTTCTGAGGGATTCTTGCCCACAGTAGTATACCTGATGGTCATCTGAGTTAAATTCACCCATTCCTGTCCATTTTAGTTCGCTGATTCCTAAGATGTCGATGTTCAGTCTTGTCATCTCTTTTTTAGAACTTTTAATTTCTTGCAAATAATATCTTCGATCTCTAGGATAAAGGAATACAGGTAATCCTCAACTTACGACTACAGCTGAGGCCAAAATTTATGTTGCTAAGTGAGAAATTTGTTAAGTGAGTTTTACCCCATTTTACAACTTTTCTTCCCACATTTAAGTGAACCACTGCAGTTGTTAAGTTAGTAACACAGTTGTTAAGTGAATCTGGCTTCCCCATTGACTTTGCTTGTCAGAAGGTTGCAAAAGGGGATCGCATGATCCTGGGACACTGCAACTACCATAAATATGAACCAGTTGTCAAGCATCTGAATTTTGATCACATGGGATGCTGCAAGGGTCATAAGTATGAAAAATGGTCATAAGTCCATTTTTTTCTGTGATATTATAATTTTTAACGTTCACTAAACAAACTGTTGTAAGTTGAGGACTACCTGTAGTGTCATAGATTTATTTTAGATGTTCATTATTTATTTAATTTATATTTTGTATTTCTTAACTGCCCATCTCCCTCAGAGATGCTTAATTATGCTCATTAAGGCAAATCAAAAGCATCAGAGTATGAGTGAACCAAAACTCAATATTTATATTTGTAGAGGTGTTATTGTTTTTTGTCTGAACCATTGCCAAAACATTTGGTGATAGATCCAATATTGTACATGACTGCAGCCAATGATGTATTCACAGGTGGATTCTGAGGACAAGACTTATGATGGAATTGAAGGAGGGGGAAACTTTTATTCCCAAGTTTTTCCCCTAGCCATTTTCTAGGAATCTTGATGAGGAATTTTTGCAGATCCTTTTGTGAAACCTGCCTAATGCTGGACTTTCCCCACTAAGTCACAGATTACTGTGTATTGTTGGGGGAAAATTAAAATGATTCACTTGCAGACTCCTCTGGCTGCAAGTGAGTATAGTTTGTTGCTCTGACTAATGAGAAAGAGTTGAGTGAGGTGATTTACTTAACAAAGTTCAGGCAAAAGTATTGGGTAGCTGAGTGCAGGGCAGTTATGCTTGTGGTTATTCTGCCTTTTATTACACACACACACACACACAAACATCCCACCAGCCATCTTTTGATTACAAGGTGGTCCTTAGCAATAACACTTAGATTTATATACCACACAGTGCTTTACAGCATTCTCTGAGTGATTTACAATGTCAGCATATTGCCCCCAATAATTTGGGTCTTCTTTTTACCGATCTTGGAAGGATGGAAGGCTGAGTCAACAGGATTGAACACCTGGCAATGGGCAGAATTGGCCTACAAATACTGCATTCTAACCACTGCACCACTACAGCTCCTTGACTTAGGACCACATTTGGAACTAGAATTTCCATTGCTAAGCAAGATGGTTGTTAGTGAGTCACACCTAATTTTATGACCTTTTTTGCTGAAGTAAATTAGGCAATTGTTAAGCATATCCAGCTTCCCCTATTGTCTTGTCAGAAGCTGGCTGGGAAGGGTGCAAATTGCAATCACATGACCCCAGGACACTTCTAACCATCGTAAATACATTCTAGTTGCCAAGTGCCTGAATTTTGAACACATGATTGTGGAGGCAATGCAATAATCATAAGTGTGTGGACTAGTCACTTTTTTCATTGCCGTTGTAACTTTGAACGTTTGTTAAATACTTGTAATTCAGTACCATTTGGCATGGCTCATAGAAATGGTTTTGCAACCAAAATAATCTGAATGTATAGGGAAACACCTCAAGCTGGGGAAATATTTCAGTTGACCTGATGTCAGCCATACATGAATGGTGGTGCAGTTAGTAATAATTTGGAACATTTTAATAAGATGGTACAAAATAGAGTTATAAAACAAAAAAAAGAAATACAGTATATATTCTGTAGGAATGTTAAATATCATGTGATAAACTGGGGTTAGGCAGGAAACAAAAATGTAGAAAAGTTGCTTCCTGTCTCACAGACTTAAATTTAGTTTCTAACAAATGCAAGCTGATGGAAATATGCATTATGTGTTTAAAAGTACCACAGCTCTATGTGGTATTTAAACTTAATTTCCTCCTTACAGTTACTTTTACATTTAAATCATATTGTAAAAAGCAGTTTTATAAATTTAATTTTGGAATGAAAACCTTTTTAGAATTTAATTGCAATAATAAAAAATGAAATGTTATGTTAAGTCAGACCATATGATTTCTTGATATACTGTATGAAATCAAAAGAATTTAGATGCATTTTGTGTCTATGTGTTATCTCTATTATGATTATTTTTGTGTAATTAAAAAAAACTGTTCCCACTGATGATGGGATCAAATTTAATGTAATTAATTTTGAATTTCCAGAATGGGGAATCTACATCAGTGTTTCTCAACCTCAGCAACTTTGAAGTGTGTGAACTTGGACTCCCAGAATTCCCCAGCCAGCAATGGGTAACTGGAGCTGATTAATTGGATAAGGTCAGAATCTAGACCCCTGTGCCCAGTTAATTAGCTCCAGTTATCAACCTTAGTGTTAGGATAATGTTGGTTTTCTGTCATGTGGCCAAACTTAACCTTCATCATCATCATCATAAAGTTGGAAGGGACCTTGGAGGTCATCTAGTCCAACCCCCTGCCCAGGCAGGAAACCCTATACCATTTCGGACAAATGGCTGTCCAGTCTCTTCTTAAAAACTTCCAGTGTTGGAGCATTCACTGCTTCTGGAGGCAGGTTGTTCCACTGGTTAAATCACAGTATTTTCAAACTCAGATTGTAACTATTTTACATAATTGAGGATACTATAATTTTGTTGTGTTTAAATTTTTCAGAGGACAGTAACAATGCTCTCTTGCAGTGAAAATGGTGAAGAGTTTTGACATGTTTTGAAGAGAATTGCATTTATTATGTCCTACATTTTTGTAGATAGTCATTTCATTTGATGCCACTTAGATGCCTGAAGCATCATCCTTGGAAATTTAAAGAAGATACATTTAACTATTGTTGGGGAAGGGAGTGGAAGGAAATACCAAAGGAGAGATGGGAGACATCAACAATTTACCGTATTGTAAAAATTAGTCTATGGTAATATTTAAGATGAGTGCACATCATGCTGGCTGCAAAATGCTAAGGATGAAGCAGTCTTAGGCCAGCACTGAAGATAACAAGGTCCTAATCATTGAGCTGCACTGAGAATTCCTGTCAACCTTCCTCCCTACTCAGGATGATGTACCTTAGCTATGGAAATAAAAGAAACATTAATAGAAACAGTAATTTTCTTATGGTATGGGGCTTATATTTGGCGGTTCTCAGAAAGTGGATTGTAACATGATGATAATGATAATGAGGGGGAGGGGGAAGAGGAGGAGAATGATGATGATGATGATGATGATATACAGTACATACAATGTGATATCACAGCTGCCAGTTCGTTAGCTAGTGTTGACCTTCATAAGCATCAAGTTCTTCCCAGGAACTTAAGATATCCTAATGTATTGATGTATTATATGTGTGGATCCATACAGTGTGGCCTTTTGTAACTGACAGATGGAAATTTTGTCAATACACAATATTGTCCTAGACCAGTGGTTCTCAACCTGTGGGTCGGGACTCCATTTGGGGTCGAACAACCATTTCACGGGGGTCGCCAAACAAGGCTGTCCGCCATTTTTTCCCCCTTTTCTTTGGCCACACCCCTGGCACCCGGTGATGTATAAGTGGTTGGGGGTCACCACAACATGGGGAACTGTATTATGGGGTCACGACATTAGAAAGGTTGAGAACCACTGTCCTAGACTTTTTGGTATGGCATCCAGTGTGCCAAAAATCACTGGGACCACCACTGCTAGTTTATGCCATAATCCACAAACTTCAATTTTCAGATCTTGATACTTTGATACTTTGTGATCTTCTATTCTTTTTCTTCTATTGTACCATTAACTGGCATTACAGCTGTTTACACTTGGTGTCTAGATTTGTGGACAAATTGTTGGCATTTTGTAACATTTTAATTTCCTTACCAAATTAAGGTAAGGATCTGGATAAATATATTACTACTCAAGTATTATATTTTTCTTTATGATTTTATTCATAGTTTGAAGTCCATGGCCTCTGAAGATCTTGCAGGCCAGTTACCAAATTTCTACATCCGACAGAACTCCTCAAATGCAGTTTCTCTAGAATTTGACTCTGATGTCAACTATCAGTTCGTGGAAATCTTAGATGAACGATACAAATGTACACACTGCCACCTTGTCCTCCATAATCCGCACCAGACAGGATGTGGACATAGATTTTGCCAGCATTGCATTGTTTATTTGAGGTACAAATGGCTTCTTTTTCTTACAATTGATTTGTGCAAATCAATGCTGTCATAACAACTATACAGTTTGTGAATGTATAGAATGTGCAGGGGTAACCCAGGACCTCCAACAGTCTTATGTACTTAAGTACTCCCTAAAATAAATGAATTTCAGGTATATTTAATGCTATCTGGTTACTCTTCATAGTAATTTCCCCCAGCAACTTACAGCTAGCGCTGTACCAAAATAAGTAAAATGTGGGCAGGTTTTACTGTATATCTTGGCTGGGTAATGCTGTGAAGCACAGGGTAATGCTTAAAGTCCCTAGTGAGAAATAGCCCATGTATTCCAAACATAAGATTTTAAATAGCTAAATTTTTCAATGAAGTTTTGTTCCAGCACTTGAAATCATGTGTGACTTTAAGAGCACAAAAACATTACACTGATTGAATCAAGTGTGGCTTTGTGTCATATCTTTACAAAGAATTGATAATTTAAAAAAAAAATCCAATGTGGCTTGTTAAAAGTCTCATTTTGATCCACTAAGTTTTCATTTTAGAGGATTGCTGTTCTCTTTTTCTGAAATATCCGGAAGCTTCTGGTTATATTTTATGAGTGAAATGGATATGTAGGTGATAACTGTTATCTCAAGGTCATTAGGGTGTTATTCATGAATGTGTGAGGGCAAAGCTATGTAGAATCAGGTCTGGAAATACTGGCCTCACCTGCATCTTTTCTTCCCTCTTTTTGCTGAATGAACAGCTCATACTCATACTCACTTGATAGTGTTCCTGGACCTACTTCACTCAGATCATGTGGAAAGCCATCTTTATCTTTAAACTTCCCACAATAGCATTTTGAAATGAGAGAAATCTCTCATTTTGTGAGGATAGCTCTCTCTATGGATATAGATACAGATATATAGATATGTAGATATAGTTAATAACACTAAAAATATGAACCCTGGGAATATTCATATCCAAAATAAAATGAACATCAAGGTATTGATTAAAACTATAAAAGTTTAATTTAAAAACGCCAAGTTTTCGCCGTCACCTGCCGGCATCATCAGGGCTGGACCGCCAGGGTGTGGGAGAGTCATTTTATAGGCAGGCCGGAGTCTGCACTCGGCTCCTCGATCTCGTCACCGGACCCAATTGGTTAAATTGTGGTCCGGTGGTTCGTTTCTTTCTGTCCTTCCTAGCTGCATGTGTATCTTCATCTACCTTCTTTTCTTTGGATTCTAAGGCAGGTGATGTAAACCCCTTGTCTCTTCGATTGTCTCTATCCCTCAATCCATTCCCCCTTTCGGGTTCGAGTGGTCGTTTGCATTTGTCCTTTTCCTTTCTCCAATCACGCTTCACCCAGTCACTTTCTCTATGAGTATCTTTCTTTTCATCCTTAATGCCCCTCCCTCGTGCCCAACTGTCATTAGAATGGTCGTGCACAATGTTCCAGACTGGCTGGAGTGGCTCAATGGATTGTTTTTCTATGGGGGTGATCTCATGGTTATAATTATCTTTGGCCATCACACCCTTCCCTTCCTTTTTATCCTCTGTGCTCCCATCGCGTATACCACAATCCGAGGTCTTGATCTGGGGGGGGTGGAGTTGCGATCTTCCTGAGCATCACAATGCTCCTTCCCTACTCTTCTCCTCATTCCGACGCCTCTCGCTCCTGCGCGTGCACGACAGGAGTCTTTGGAGTCTATGGGTGTTGTCGGCACAAGACGCAGCGAGCTGATCTCATTAGCTCTGCCCTCTCGCGCACCTCTCCGTCTGGACTCATTTTTCTCCTTACTTTCCGGAGCGTCCGCAAGCTTGCTGTCATGCTCGGTGTCGCCCCGCACTCCATATGTTTTTGAGCCAGCTGACGATGCGGAGTGGGGGGATCGCTTCTTTCCCCTCAAATGGGTCATCCTGTTTCTTTCTGAGCGTCGGTGAGGTGTCAGGTCTAATGATCTCTCCCCATCTTTGTCTATCGTATCTCCTTGCATGCCAATTGGGATATCTCCGATGTTCGTGATGCAGGGGTTCTGGGCTTTAATTTCTATCGCTCTCTTAGTTTTTTGCAAGCGTGTTAACATTGCGGGGGTAGTGGGAATTCTCAATCGTTGTCCCTCCTCTTCTGAATTGCATCTAATTGGTTGGAGGTTTGGCACATCCCCTATGGTTCTCTCACTGGATTTACTATCGGGCCAGTGGTAGCGAGATGGGTGGTTGGTCGCACTCCATGATCTAAGTGCTAAATGTGCCGGACAGAGGTCAATATGCCGGTTGATAGAGCTGCCATTAGATAGCCATGCTTCCTTAATCAGTCGGCCTCCCTTAGTACTGTCACTTGCCAAGACGTCTACTTCATTAAAATTAAAGCGGTGGCCCAATTCCGCCATATGAGTCCATATCTGGGAGTGCTGTTCGCCCCTTTTCACAGCTAGTCTGTGTTCGTGGACCCTGGTCTTCACTCGTTTGGAAGTCTCCCCAACATAGTTGCACGGACAGTCCATACATTCGATCTTATAATATGGCTGCCGATCTCTCCATGTTGGGGAGCGGGTCCTTGGGGCGCATAATGGCTGCCCGTAGCGTTTGGCTGGGTCTATGTGCTACCTGTATATTATATGGCGCCAAAATTCTCGCCGTAGCCTCTGATACATTGCAGATGTAGGGGAGGGTAATACGTGTTGTCTGTGGTGTCAACTCATTAGGTGTGGGGTTACTCCGGGGTTCAGATGGTATACTAAACCGGTTGATGAATCTTGCCGGGTACCCATTGCACTTACACACTTGGAAGAGGTGGTTTCTTTCCTCCCTCTTAGCTTTGACAGTGCTGCAATGTGACTCCACCCGTTTGAATAGAGTCTTAACACAACTGACTTTATGGGCTATTCTCATGAAATATATATTGCAAACTAACAATACAAAATAAATTTTATAAAATTTATTTTTATGCAGGTAGCAGCATAAAAATAATAAATAAAAAAGATCAGTACAAAATATAAATACAAACGTTTCAAGTCTGTAACCAAAAAAAATGTTTCTATTCCTATAGAGACTTAAATACAGTACCTATATGTCCTATAGACAATGAAATAATAAAACATCAGGAGGTAAGACAAATATTTATATGATTTTCTTATATTCATATTCATATAATCAGTATCATGCTATTTGGGGCAATCTGTTATTGAGTTTTTTTTAATGTACTGCTAAATGGAAATTATAATCGAAGTAAGGGAACTTTAAACCCAAATGAAAATGAAATACAAAAATATGAAAATAACTTCTACTAAATAGTATTTTCAAACATGATTTAAAGATTTTACTGAGACTTATAACTAGCATTAGATGGGATTTCCAGGTATGGGAAATCTTATCTTAATAATGTGGTTCTTTCCCATTTCTTTCATTCTTCACGTAATGTTGCAGTTGTCAGAGAGAGTATCATCTATATTAAATGCATATAAATAATATATAAAATATAATAAATTAAATTTTAGTAATGTTGCCAGGCTTTGTCTTAAAGGCAAATAATTGTTATGAATTAGGTTTTTTTGCTTCTGTGTACATCGAAATAATTATATATTCTTTTTTAATTTAGGTTTTTAAAGATAATTGCTGCAAAAGAGAAGTACTCAATTTGCAAGTATTTTGTAAAAATTCACCAGCCTGCACTGCAAAATTATGTCTAGGGCGATACCAGGTTTGTACTCCTGTATTATAATGTCAAGCAAGTTAAAAATAAATGCTTCTAGAAACTGAAATCAGTCTTTCCTCACTTTTTTATCAAGTATCTTTTTGAAGAAGAAAACAATATCAGAAAATTGCAATTCTTTCTCTATCCATTGAAACTTTTTGTAACTCATTCTCAAGATGCACAGAGAAGTTTAGCTTGACAGTGTAAACAAGTTCTTCCAAACTTATTGTTCAAGTACATGAAAAGATTACAATTTTTCAGAAATCTGTTCTGTATTCTCCTTCCTATCAATCTAGCCAATGCTGAAATGGAAGTTTAAGCTACATTAATTCTATTCTATTGAGCTAGATGTTTGTCCATTGAGTTAATCAGGAACTAAACGACATTTATTATACTGAGCGCCTTTGTTTTGCTTTTATTTTGTTCTATAAATGAGCAGTTATGCTCCCCGCTGTCTCTGGGTGACAAACTGCATATATAAAAAGCAGTGAGAATAGTAGTCAAGAATAGCACTCTACTTCACTGTCCTGCCTAGTTTTTAAACAAAGTTGTTTTGAGCACGAAGACAAGCAGGCTAAATAAATAGAGCAGAATAGGGATCTGGTTTGGAACACATGATTTCTAAAGTAGTTTGAAAATGCAGAAACCCCTCTGACTCTGCAGGTAGAAGGAAAAGTAATTTGCTGCCCAGGTTATGTTCCTTGAGGCCCACCAGATTCCCTGTCCCAAATTTAAAAATTAATGGGACATTAGCATGCAGTAATGCATCAGCTTTCCCCATAGACCCCTGCCCCAAAGATGTGTGGCTGCAACCTAAAGCTTTGCTTAGAATAAGGCCTCTCCAGCTTAGGAAAAAAAAAAAGGTAAGGTAAGCTGAGATAGAAGAAGCATCAAGAAAAAGTAGTGACAAGGAGAAACTGCCCTTTCTTCCTTTAAAAAATTTGGTGTTGTCAGCAATTATTGTTACCTTGGAACTTGCTATAAATTAATGTCACATATGAACATTTTTAAAGTTACCAGTCCTAATAAAGATTCTTGAGGGATCCCTGTATTCTTGTCCCTTTATATGTAGGAATTTTCATGTATTTCTACTGCCGTCTTTCTGTTTTTTGCCAGAAGAATGCAGTCTTTTGCTTAACAGAATTTGACTTAAAATTCTTTTGTGAAAGTTGAAGTAAAACTATGTCTACCATAGTTATTCACATAGATTTTAAAAGATGAAACAACTCTAAAATATATAGAATAGGACAGAGGTTTTCAAACTTTTTCAGGATACAGAATCTGTTAGTTAAAAAAACAATTCAGAATCCCTGATCAAGAGACAGAACTCTAGTGATAGAAAATCAGCTGCGTCCAAGTGAACATTTTGTTGTTGTTAATCTCTCATTGAATGTCTTAAAGTTGTTATAGAATCTTAGAGTTCTATGGAACAGTTTAAAAGACCCTGTCTTCTTTTTTAAAACTGGCAATACTCTGAGAATTTTTGAATACTTTGCTGGGGTTTTTTAAAGGAAGTTGATAAATTCCACTTAGACTAAATTGTTTGTGAGACTGAATATCTTCCTCTGCCTCTTTCTAAATATGACAGTATAGTTATGATTATCACTCTTCCATCAGTTGTATTAAAGTCTTAGGTGTAGCTTAGGTGCAATCACTTTACTGTTCACTATAATCGTTTTCCTAACTCATTTCTTAATTCTAAATGTATTCAGATATTATGGCTAGACTTAATGGTATTAGTTGTATTCTTGTAAAAATCTTTTTTATGGTCTCCTTGCATTTCTTTCATGCATTTGTGCTTTTTTTTGTTCTTGTTAAAAATTTCTATTTTCTTTTAATCCTTATATACAATCAATGTCCTGTTGTTGCTTTCTTCCCAAGCTTTAATTTCCCGTCAATATTCAAATTAACATTTGGTATTTATAATTTCCAAGCTTTAAGTAACCAAAGTTTCCCTTATCTCAACTTCTTCCTTTTTCCATTTTCATAACAAAATCTAATATTATAAATACATCTTATTTATTTGAATATAGTCTTATTCTGTTTTCTAAAAGTTATCTATTTTCCACCATATTAAACCATCTAATTAATAATACAATATATCCTCTAATAGATCAAAACCATTATATGTATTGTCTGGATTAACCAATAAATCAGTAATATACATAATTTTTTTCGTTTAGGTCTAATTTTTAAAAGCTCAAATACTCCCTCTCTTTTTCTGGTAATATCTATTATCTCATATTAGGCAAACAGAATTCTTATTTTCAACTGATTTCCAAATATTTTATATTAGGTGACCAAAATTTCCCTTATCTCAACTTCTCCCTTTCCCCCTTTTTAATACCAAAGTCTATTAGTCTTGTTACACATCTTATCTATTCAATTATAATGTTACTTTATTTTCTAAAAATTATCTGTTTTCCGCCATATTCAACCCTCTTATTAGTAATATGAAATCCCCTCCAATAAATCAAAACCCTTATTTTCTTCAGCCTTACTCTGGCGTGCTTTCTTTGCCAACTAACTTTCCATGTCAATGCTTTTGAATCATCAAATAGTTCTCCTTCTATTATTATATATATTATTTGGAATAAGAAAGACCAGTTGGTTGCAGTTTTTTTGGAAGAACTAGCCCATTTGTATTCATTAGATGGCCTCCCTATTACTCCTCTTTCCCACAATTGTCCTGATAGGTTTATCTTCCATTCAATCTGTTCTTCCTTTTCCTCAAATTTCTTCTGATTTTTATAAAAAGTCTTTTCCATTTTCAGTGTTGTCACTCCCTTTTCTGATTTTTCCATTGGCTGGATCTGTTGGTCAATTGAGTCCTCTGTCTTAGTATTTAGTTGTTCCACTTCTCCTGTTATTTTCTGCATTGTTAGTTCTTTGGTTGTAGTCAAGATCTGGGTTTGTATATTTAAGCTGGCATCTTGTTCCTTTATGTTGCATCTTATTTTGTCACAAGCTGAAAGAATACTTTCGTGTATTGATTTCAACATGGAAAGGATTTTTTCCTGATCTCCATATTCTGTTGATAGTATGTTAAGTTGAAGACTTTAGAATCAAACATTAAGAATAGTTTTTTTGTTTTTTATAGCTGGGTATGGGATATCTATTTCATATGTGGTCTTTATAGTAGAAATTGTTTGTCAAGTAAGAGTTTATATTCCAAAGTATTCCATCATCTCGGGGGATAACATATGCTTCTCATGTAAAGAAATAGGAAAGCAATTCCCCACATATAGCTCTGAAAGTCAGTAAAAGTTTACATTCATAGTTCAAACAGGCCAGATATGCCGCCCAAAAGTTCCTTCTTTGCAGCTGAGTTTTTTCACAGGTGGTAGCTGTCAAGGTCAGAGAAGTTTTTTCCTGGAGTCTGGGCTTCAAGCCAAGTCTCTCTTAAGCAATAACAAGTTGTAATACCATACTTCGCCACAAGATGTCACCGATGCCATTTATAGTTTTTTAAGTCCAAGGTTTTTATGATAGTTTTTCAAGTCTTATTTCCTTTTTTTAGATAAAATCAAACATCTCCAGTAAGAATAGGAACACTTTTAGTCCCCAAATTTCAAAAGCTTATACAACCAATTAGATTAAAATTGTTTTTATAGTTGCTCTGTTTCCCCTGGGTAGTTAGTCACCGCTGTTCTTAGAGGGTGGGGTAAAAATTCCCTTCCTCTCTCCTCACTCGGGGAAAAAATACTTTGGGCAGCTTTTACAGGAAAAAATACTTAAAGTCTTAAAGAAAAGATCAGACCTCACCCAGTTTCATCCGCGTTGCTTTAAATGTGCTTGGTGGTTTTGACTTCAGCTGTCAGCAGCTTAGTGACGAGCCATATTGCTATGGCCGGTCTTTCCCCCACTGGTTTGGAGGGCTTCCCTGGATCCAATGGAAGGGCTGCCGCCCTCCTGCGATCAAGTGGGGGTCCCCTCCTTGCTCGTCGCCCCTACAGGGCGACTTTTGACCCTTTCCGGGGTCCCCCAGCAGGATGAAACCAGACGCGAAAGATGGAGCTCGTCTTCCAGCATCCGCGGCACCACGATGGCAAACCGGAAGATATGTATAAGCTAAAAAATATTGACAAATATAACAAAGATGTTTTTACTTAGTTGATAACAATAAGAACTGTATTAGCCTAATATGAGATAGTAGTTATCAAGAGAAAATGAGAGGAAATATCTGATGTTGTAACTTGAGATTTATACTAAAGATTTATATTATTGAACTATTGATTAACCCAGTCACCACGTTGCTTTTTAAATACTTAATTGTAAAATTAGAAAATTAATAAAATATTATTTAAAATAATAATTCTATTTTCTGAAAGATTTTTTTTCTGATTCTAATTCTGTTCACACTCTAAACCATTTTTTCAAAATTCATGCAATTTCTGTCTGTTTTGAATTTATGACTGTTTTATATTTGTAAAAAATATGGGCTATATGTAGAACCCTTTTCTGCAGAGGGAGTAAACTTGCTAAAATTGGTGCTCAACATATGAAAGGAGTAAGGTACGAGGGTACCAATAAACTGGAGAAGAAGTCTATAGCCTTAAGTATCATTAGTTCTATACAGAGAACATCTTCCTCAAAGAATAATTAAAAAGTGGTCCAAGTATGCAAAATGCTTTTGTAGCAGACTAAGAAGTGATTATAGTTTTACTTTGAGGGTATTTCAAAACCTCAAAAGCTTCTACTCTTTGACTTTGATATTTCAAGCAAATGCAACTTTTATAACCAGCAGGTTAATGGGACAAGAAAAAAGAGGTTTATATTTGTTTGAAGGCAGAAGAATTGATGTCATAGTTCATAAGTAGAATCCTAGAAGCTATGGCTTTTTCTCTGCGTATTATAGCAATCTGTCTAATGTGGGTAAAATCTATAATGCATTATTCTACTTTTCTACTTACAGGATCACCTGCAACAGTGTTTGTTTGAAACTGTGCAGTGTACTAATGAAGGCTGTCATGAAAAAATTGTTCTGAAAGATTTAAAAGAACACCTTATTCAACAATGTAACTTTCGAAAAGAACAGTGCCAGTACTGTAAACAGCCTGTGATATCAGTTAATTTAAAGGTTAGATTCAACTAAAATGTTTTAAATTATGTATTTTAAATGACATAATTTTATTTTTACAATGCTATGAATTATATATCAACAAATCCATATTGGAGAAAGTTTACAGATTACTGTCTCCTGTCTTGAAAATAATGAAGGCACTCTGGACTATGCTATCATCTGTAAATCACATAATTTTGAAAATGCAGATTAGAAACATTTTGGACACTGGCTGAAATTCATAGGCTGCTAAAGAGCTACGAACTATGAGATGCTATCATTTCTGTATCAGACCTCATTAGAACAGCAAGGAGTAGTTCAAGTTATCATAACTTTCTCAGATGTTTCCTGAAATGTTTTTGTATTCCTGTTTCTTAAGTATCAAATCATTGTCATTTACAGCAGCTTCAGGCTGGGAGACTAACATTTTTGCTTTTTGCTGATTTTTTTTTTCAATCAGCAGGAGGAATACAAACTCTGCAACTTTTATGGAGTAATTTCTAAAAAAACTAGAAACATATACCAATTAGTTTATTGCTAGTTGTTCCAACATATTTTCAAATAAGGACCATTTTCTTCTGCTTAAGGACAGCAGAAAATGGAGAAAAATAAAGCAAGAGAAACCAGTAACTATAATGGACCCTTGCCTAGTTCTTTGGAAAGTAAAGGCTTGGAAGATCAGAATTGCCTTTAAACATCTGTCACTCTAACCTTATGATAAAGGTAGTGTTAGTACTTAGGGTTTTGGTTTCTTGTCCCAGTTATTTTGAAGGGCTGACATCAGCTTTGCAAATCTGAAAGCTCTTCTTCCCTTCCTTGCTGTTACTTTCCAGAGAACTATTGACGGTCCCTTCTGAGTCCGTTCCCACATATTCATTCCTTCAGTGGGCTGAGATGGCTCTTGTCTAACCACTACCTTGTCTAATTATTGCAGCTCTTCCTCCTCCTGTCCCTAAGTTTCTTCTCACAGACCATTACAGTAATATAATGATGAAAGATTAGCAGTTTTAAATTGTCTTTATTTAATATACTAATTGTGATATCAATTTTCTGACAGTTTATTTTTATGTAGCCAAAATGCACCACCAAGCTAGAGGTGTGTGGTTGTGTAGGTGTCTGGGCAGCGTGAAGGTGAGTTTGTGCACACTCAATCGGCATTATATGCTGACTGTATTTGAGGGAGAAGAAAATGGAATAACCAGGAAGAAGACATAGCTGATTGGCTGGAGACGCTACATTGCCACATTCTGCTATTGTCCATTAGGCAAATTCAATATCCACAGACAGAATTTTTGGAAAAAGTGGTTATTCAACTGTATTCCTTCCGATAATGTCAATAATCCCCCTAAGGGACTATCTTTCTGATCTGTGCCTGTTACTGATTCTATTAGGACTTTAAATGAGCAGTAGTAAATAAATATTTATTTGCAATCATTTGTATGCCACCTATTTTTACAAATTAAGAAATCTCTTTATTGTGCTTGTTAATTGTCATCATCACCATATTCCAATGTATTTTCAGACTCATGAGAAAGTAGATTGCCCAGATTATCCCTGGATTTGTCCCTATGGCTGCATGCAGATGATTCTGATGAAAGAGGTACAATATTATTTTTGGCTCATTAGGAGAAGAATTATAAAATATAATACAATATTTTAATAACAAACTATGCCTAGTTTTACTTGTTTTTATCTGGTATACAAAAAACTGAATTTAATCTTAGCAATGTAATTCTATATTTCCATAAAAGTATAATGTAGTATTAAAATTATTATTAAAATTGTAAATGATCATTGGACAATTTACTTATTCCAAGGAAATTGTCTAATTTTTACCAAAGTTTTTATAGAAGGTAAAAATTATTATTATTAACCCTCTTTCTCCTACCAAAATATTTTATTAATGCCTACCTTAATCTGTGATTTTTACAGGCAGAAGATCATGTTTTGGTATGTCCTGAAATGGAAATTGATTGTCCGTATAAAAAGTGTGGCTGTCCTAAAAAGGTACTGCACAATAAGACAGACATAATTGGTACTACAGTGGAAGCAGACTTTCCAAAACATAAAAGGGAACAGTTAATCAATGAATTTTTTTCCAGTCCTCTCTGAAGTTTGTGCAACAGATTTCCCCAATATCCTAATTATTTTTAAACTGTACTAAGAAGAGAGTGTATTAATCAGTGTGCTTTCTTAATTATCTAGTATATTTGATATAAGTTATACATCTATTTTTTGTAGATTAAAAGAAGCAAGCTTTTAGAACATGAGAATATCTTCTTGAAAGAACATATGCTACAAATTGTAGATAAGAACTCAAAGCTGGAAGATCAGGTAAAGTGCACATTCTTGTAATTTCCCAAAAGTTGTTTTTTAAAAATGTAAGCTGTTCTGGGAATAGATGTAGAATGAGATTTTGAAACTGATTTCATATCTCATGGAGTACCATCATAAATGTGTAAATTTGCTTTAGTGTATTTGCATTTTACTTTCTCTCTTTATCTTCCTTGGGGCATTTTTAGTTGTTTCCCATCTTGCTACTGATTAGACCAAAACAATTTTATTTCTGTAAGCTGATTGCATCATGTTTCCTCAGAAGCATATAATACAAAACTGATCATTGCAACAATTCTTTTGAAACAAGAACTTTCAATGTTCTCTCTTGACCAAAAGTTGGAGACAGATATTGGACAAGATGAAATAGAGCCTAATGTGTTCCAGAGGATGATTGTTTTAATATCTCTTTTAAATACCAATTCCATTTTCATAAGTTCTTGTCTCAAAAGATATAAATGATTTTGACCTGACCAGTTTGGAACACTAGATAGTTTGTCTTAATCAATGACCAAAACTAATATAAATTCTGGATTAATAATTCCACCACAAATTGACATCTTCCAACAATTGCTTCTGAACAGAATTTAGCATCCTTTTTTCTGATTATTTCAGAAGAGAGGTTTACTAACAGAAAGCATTCATTTCTTCTTCCAGGGGTATTATTAAAATAAGGTACCAAAATTACTATATGGGTCAAGACAACACAATAAATTGATTCAATAGATTCTTTTGCCAGTAGAGGCAGTCTTTAGGGAGGCACTGTTTTGCTTTAAAGAACTACAAATGGCAAAACATTAATTCTGGCTGGCAAAAATTCTCTTCTGTGTTAAGAATATTTAAAAATGTTAACTAGTTGGCTAAGATAAATGCATAAATTATCATAGTAGTGGTTGGCTAGACTATGATTGTTTGTTAAAACAAAGTATGTGACTAGTTTATCTATAGGGATTTTTTCTTATACTTTCACTGAAATAAGAGTTGAACTGAGTTGAAAACCCACAAAAATTTAAATGTGGAATATCATAATGATGTTAGATGGAGTTATCCCAACAAAGTGATACTCCAAAATGATTAGGGGTACATCTCTCAGAATTAAAATGGGACTATAATAAATGGTCAAAATAAGACAATCCTCAAATTTACTTGCTGGCCTATCTAGGATAACTTTTTAAGAAGCCACTGAAAAAGCTAAAAACTCATTCTCTTCTTTCTGGGATATCCTGAGTATAGAAGTATTTGCCTCCTTTTCGTATTTTCTGAACTATACCAGATGTTTGGCACTAAAGGTTATCAAGAGCTTGAAATAGATCCTACTGAAAAAGGCAGCCTGGGTGAACAAGTAACCAGTTAGTAAGTAAAACTGAATCTTGAGAGAATTTTATGAAATATTATACAATATATTAAGACCAGAGATCTTTCTATAGTGACTTCTCCCCACACACTTTTTTTTGCATTACATGAGGAAAAGATGCATATTCCTTTATTTGGAGAAATATAAATATCTTACACATAATTTGCATGGTGCCACACATTTTTGTAATGTATTTAAATCTTGTCATTCAATTCCTCTTCATAAGTTTGTATTTATCTAGTGTTTGACAATTCTGAGACAATGAGTATTGTGTGTCATCAGGGTTTGAGTTTCTTCTGACATGTCAAAAGATGCAATTACTTGAATGATTTTTAGCAATGGTTTTGAAAAGTGTAATGCCACAATACATAATATTGATTTCAGTTCCTCTTACAATGCAGAATTTATGAATTCCCCTGACTCTTCAGAACTGTATTGACTACTCCCAGTTTTCTGTTGATTAAAAATTACTATGCTTATAGCATACACCAGAAAACCTTTTTTTAATTAAAAGCAAATATTTTAGGCAATATGGTTTTCCAAGATGTGACTGGAAATTAAAGTAGTCAGCAGATCCTATTGGTACACGAAAGTGGGAAGTTATATCCTTGCATAGTAATTGAACAGTCTGAGTATCTTCTGACTCAGGATCCAAATGCAGTCCTTTTTCCAGGCATTTTGTTCCAGAAACATTGCTAGGCAGTTAGCAATATAGGAAATTATTACAGCTTTAGAAAGCTGCATGGTGTGGCTTAAGTTTAACAAGATGGTCATAATTCTATTCAGGAAAATGTAAGAATGGAGGGCAGATCAGTAAAGGAATCTGAAATGTCCTGTTTGAGTCAAAAATAGAACATAGGGGATGTTATGACTCTCCTTAGGTGAATTTTTCTTAGGCTTCCTATGAGAGATGTGAATTACAATTAGTCCTCCACTTACAACTTTAATTGAGTCTGGCAATTGCAGTTGGAAGTCATGAAAGTCATGAGATGTGATAAGGTCATGAGATGTGATAAGTACCTTTTATGCGGTCCATCATAACTTTGGATATTCGCTAAGTGACCACTCTTAAATTAAGGACTATTTGTAGTTGGCTTGTTATTTGGTACAGCCAACAGATCTACGGTAAGTGGTATATATTTTGTGCTTGTATGTGTGACTGCTGAGGCAAATGTTTGAATACAGCTCCTAACCAAGATGAGCATAAGTTGGGGAAGTTTACTGTAGGCTGTAGTGTTGCTGCGTGTATGTATGAGTGTGAGAGTTGTTCTGTTTTTAATTGCTTACGCTAACACTTTTAACCTTTCACTTTGCAGATTTCTGACCTTTATAAGAGCCTTCAATATAAAGAGATAAAAATCTTGCAACTATCAGATATGATTAAAAATTGTGAGAGAGAATTCAGACAATTTTCACAGCTATTTTGCAAAAACAGCAACCTGCTGGCAAGCACTCAGGTAAAATCATTCTTTCCTAGTAGCTTCCTTACCTCAGTGGAAAATCAGTGAGAATCTATTTGTGAGGAGATTTTAACTTCGCTATAGCTGATGCATGAGATTTTTAAAATTTTGTTTTTGTTATATATATTTGAAAACATTGAATAGTTTTAATGTCAGTAATATTTTATTAATGTAGTATGTTTTTTGTCTTTTCAAATTTGTGTTCTTTTATCAAACTCAGATGTCCCAGTCATATCTCATTAACTGAGATGGTCCTTGATATAAGTCTGTAGTTATGTCATAAATACAAAATAGTAATTATGCATCTCATTCCTCTATGGAATGTCAGAATTTCAAAAATGAACCAAATAGTAAACAAACAATTGCCTGCATATCCAAGGAACTGCTACAGCAAAAAAAAATGAGGGAGGAAAAGGCTGGAGGCTCAATTTTCTTAAATCTCCAAAAAGAGTTGTATGAAAGTACAGTCTTGTTCCCATGTCACAATACTATTGTAGAGGGCACAACAATTAGAGCAGTTAGAACTTAACACTTCTACCTACTCAACTCATATACGATATTACATTTATAGATCGCCAAGCTATCTGTAGGAGTTCAGGTAAGGAATGCAACACTTTCAGCTTCTTGAATTATTCTTATTATGCCGAATACTAATACATGTAGGATTTCTATTACATTCTCTCCTTCTGAGATATAGAGAATTTTTATTTTCACCTATTTAACATTTTGAACAAAGCTCACGGAAAATGTTGACTAATCTTTTCTACTGCAAAACATTATTTGGAAAGATTCCAGAAGGAAGAAATTTTGTTCCTAGTATATTCATTGAAGGTTTAATAAAGATATTAAATAACGCTAGTTGCTATATTTTCATTTTATTTTAAAATCATGTGCCTTTTCTTAACCTCCATCAACACTGCAACTGAAGACTTTGGCCATTCACATTGATAAAAATATCTTCCTGGAAACACAAGTAAGACAGCTGGTACAAAAGACAAATCAGCAGCAAAGCAAACTGGACTTGAGAACACTACTGGACACTGTTGATAACCTAAAGCAGAAAGTCGCTCTTCTTGAATCATATAATCAACGTCTAGGTATTATTTTTTCTCATAGATCTGGTTGGCAGCCCCAAGTAGAAGTCAGTAAAGAGGATCAAACAGATAATAGCTCTCAAACTTTTGCTTTAGTCAGAGACAATTCCCAGTTCTTGAAGTATTTCTTCAGTTTTTGTTGTCTGATTGAGTAATATTTATCTGTCTGTAGGTGCAAGGATCCACTTTTGTGCACCTTAAATCAAAGACATAAAAGCCAAAATGGGCTGTGCCCTCTTCTTTACAATAATAGGTTTATCAGTTAACTATATACTAATTCACTTGGGATCAGTCCAACCTAATCAACAGATTTGTTATGGGAAAAACTGCTAGATATTCCCTTTGAGTTCCTGTAGAGATTTGGGATAGACAGGTAACAAAAGAGGACACCATACCCTAACCCCCACTCAATTTCCATGTGTGTGAGAGAGAGGGAGGGAGGATAGATAGCAGGAACAAATAACTCTTTTGTGACTAAGAGCAGCACTTTTGTCTTGACGCCCTTTGCAACAAGGGCAGTAATAATATCATTTTTCAGTTCCTGCACTAAAGATCCCCTAATGTCTTTTCCCTTGATCATTCCTCCTTGTTTTCCTCTGTGTGGTGGAAACAGTAATGCTAACCACTCCGGGTTGTCATGGCTAGTTGGTGGCCTATTGACTATCTGCTTTCAACATGTTACCTTTGGAGTTTAAACATTGCTTGGTTTGTTTATTTGTATATTATTTGAACACAATCACTGCAGTTTCAACGCACAATTCACCATTTTCTATAAGGTCATTTATTTATTGTTTGTTTGTTTAAACAATTTATATGACCACTCATCTTTCTTCTGTGATTCCAGATGGCTAACACAATATAGTTTATTCAGTAAATAAAATTCAGTAAACTTTAGCTTAGTAAAATCTAATAATCTTGCATTTGAGTTTACCCTTATTGGTTTCTTTTTCACTAAATATGGGATTGTTCTCTACAATTAAGAATTTTTTTCAGGGGGGACAAATTTTAAGTTGCAGAGCAGTCATATACATAAAGGAGAGAAGCTAACTTACTACCAATTCTAAGTAGAGAGTTGGTTTCAATCAATAGAGTAAATTGGGTCTCAAGAAAAGCAAATATTCTTCATACAGAAAATTGTGTGATGGATTCTGAATAACCGATATAAACAATAAGATATTAATTTGGAACATTTATGTTGAAGTAATACAAATGCTGATTTCCAAGTCTGTATGTCATTCTCACCCCAACCCCACCCCACCCCCAAAAAGCCACAAAGAGCAAATTCTGAAATGTACCTCTTACACCTCTAGTTGTTCTAGAAGACTTGGCTACCCAACAAGATGCTCTCTTCAGAATGCACAGGGCACAACTTAACAAAAACGAAGAACGGTTCAAAATTTTGGAAGGAGCAAGTTACAATGGAAAATTGATCTGGAAAATTATGGACTATAAAATTAAGAAGAAAGAAGCTATAGAAGGGTGCAGCCTCTCCATATTTAGCCAATCTTTTTATACCAGCCATTGTGGATATAGATTATCTGCCAGAGCATATTTAAATGGAGATGGCTCAGGACGAGGAACTCATGTTTCATTGTATTTTGTAGTGATGAGAGGAGAATTTGATTCATTATTACCATGGCCTTTCAAGCAAAAGGTTACACTTATGCTTCTGGATCAAAGTGGAAAGAAAAAACATATATGTGAAACTTTCAAAGCTGATCCTAACAGCAGCAGCTTCAAAAGGCCAGAAGGAGAAATGAATGTGGCTTCTGGGTGTCCTCAGTTTGTTGCACACTCTGTGTTGGAAAATACAAAAAATACCTACATCAAAGATGATACACTCTTTCTGAAAGTAATGGTAGACTTGACTGATCTTGAGGAATTATGAAAGTACCCATTGTAAAACAGAGTGAATACTTGTATGCTCTCTGGATTCTTTCAAATCTATGAAAGCTGTTCTGTGGTCTACCAAGCTGTTCTTTGTAATTTTGAGACTGTTCTATTTTTGTAGTTTTAAAATGTTGTCTTAATAAAACATGTTCATGGTTCAGAGTGAATTATAAACATCCAGCAAAATTTGATATTGTGATTATTTTTATGCTCTACTACTGTTTCAGTTTAATGACTGAGAAAGCTTTAAATGGTTGATTATGTGGCATCAAGTCAGTGTTGACTCTTCGTGACTACATATATCTTCTCCAGGACAATCTGAGCTCAACCAGATTCTTCACGTTTTGCAATGATGTGCCACTGTTTCTCAGTGCAACAGCATACCTCCAGTCCATCACATTCTGGTTGACAACTAGATATTAACAAAATGATCCTTTAGAAATAAACCAGATACTAAATATCTCTACTATTTACTCTATACTCTCTATTGTCTGACCAACATCATTGGAAACCAAACTCAATTAACAGCTATGAAGAATGGAAACATATTTTCTGGTGCCTTCAGAATTCATTATTTTCAATCTGATCCTTCATAAGTCATATTTTTTGTGGCCCAATGCAAAAGTACAGATTTAATGCATACATCCTTTCATTTTTTAAATGGAATCCATTTAAAACAATTGTCCCAATTTAGATCATTTTTGCCTGCAACAAAAATCCATTTACAGTAGCATATCCACTAATTTTTAGTGCCTTCAAGATAGGGATCTGCACGGAGATCACATCCCATGCATTGTCACAAATTTGAAGATTTGCACTAACCTTGTACTAAAATACGGAACCTAATTTTTATGCCAAACCCTGCTAAAGATGGCAATGCATAGGATCAATGCTTCTCTACATCCGGCTTGTAATCACATTGCCCGACTTATTGCTAGCTTAATTGGGTTTATTCAAACCCAGTTTCCTGAATTCATAAGACATCGAACCCTACTATTCATAAGCGAGCCTAAAAGGTGAGTGAAGACAGTAAAAATAGTTTGTGGTTCGCCATCTCCTTCGAGCACAGTCCAAGCTGCTTAGGACGAATGCAAACGCCTCTCACTCTCCGCTTTCTTCTCCGCTATGCCCTTCTTTCGAAACTGCCGAGAGGCGGCGGGAAACGTAGCCCCATGGTATTCGCTTACAATCATTTCCGGGATGTGGGCGCCGGCCTCGTTCCGACAGGCGGCAGAGCTCGAGATTGTGGTTCCGGGTTCCTGGCGATCACGGGGCCGCAGCGGGTGTTTTTCGTAAGTCGCTGCCGCCTTCGCCTCCGCTTCCGCTGTCTTCCAGAAACCCCTCTTGAGAGTAGCCGGTGGTGAAGTTGTAGGTGGGCTTCCCAGGATCGCTGGACAAGTTCGTGTGGGTCCCGGTCTTCTTGCCTAGTTCTGGGGACGCGTAATTCGCAAACATAATCCTAAGCATTATGAGCGCCGTCTTCCTTTTTGAAACGGCGACGGGAGTGCAAATAAACCCGAGAGACTCTGGGTTGTTAGGTTGCGAGGAAAAGCTTGGGTGGGGGTCTGGGGTGGGAAGAGAGAAATCGCACGTCTACTTGTAACCCGGAGCCTTTAGAGACGCCCCGGATGAAATGAATTCGCAGTGTTTGCCACGACCATACTGATTTTTCCCTGTAATCGGTTACAGTCATCGTTTCTCCTTTTGTAAATAAAGGATAGATGCAACCGACTTTTCCATGCACCTGCATTGGGAATATTTTTTTCCTTCAAAAGAAAAAAAAGTAAAAACAGCGGAGACGCATAATACCTAAAAGAGATTTATTACAGTATAAGCGGTTGTGATTTGTGCTATTTAGAAAAATAAGCTTATCTTGCTTGTATATATTGGGGTTTACTGCATCATTTTCTGCCTTAACATGACACAGTGAAGCATAATGAAATATACAGACTGGGTTTCTACACCGACTAAAATTAGTTAATTTATTGCTTAGTGAATCATACAAAAACAGATTGCATTCTATCTCTGTCTTCCCTGTGGTTCAGTTTTAACAATTTAAAACTAAGGCTTTTTCTTCGTTTCTTTGGAAAACAATAGTCCGTGCTCCTTTGGTAATTTCACAGGAATCTATTCTTCTGTAGTTTTTTGTTCTCACCTTTTAATTTTCTGATTTCAATCAACAATCTTCTGACTAAATCTTAACTTCTCTATATAATGGGTCCTTTATTTATTTAATGTTTAACTGATTCTTCATAAAATGTAATACAAAATGTTCATAAAGTAGCATATGTATTGACTGATTGATTAAACAAATAAGACTAAAGGCAACACTTTATGAATGTGACAACTCTGTAGCCTTTAATGAAAAACTACCTCAGGAATAGGCTTGGGGTTTTTGGTACTACTGTTTTGATTTTGCTATGATAGATTGATATGGCTATTGGAAGTACTTGGCGTTATGATTCAAAATAAATTCCCACAACACAATGTGGTTAATTAGTTTATATTTGATCTCATGTAATGTCAACCACTTTTGTTTACAATTTGTACTTTGTGCACTTAAAGTAATAACAAAACCATTGTGAAATAAATCATGTTAAGTACAGACAACTAATGTACACTTGGTAAAAGTTGTAGAGCGAACCTATAAGTATTTGGCTTATGTATAAGTTCCAAAAATTGGGACTGAAGTGTGCATTAAGGGGTATTTAATTTGTGCTACTGTAAATTTTTATAAACTCTTATTAAAGATGCATGCCAAATTGCCTTATGTGATATGAAGTCACTTTTCAGAAGCCTTCTCCTTAAATTGACTATTCTATTATGATAGCAGATTTATCCTATATAGAAGCCTATGAAGTTATAATAATAATAAAGTTGGAAGGGACCTTGAGGTCATCTAGTGTAACCCCCTGCTTAGGCAGGAAACCCTATACCATTTCAGACAAATGGCTGTCCAGTCTCTTCTTAAAAACTAAGCTGATTATCACTTTGAAGAATTAGATTACATGTGCATATGTGTAACTGTATTACTGCATTAACCCAGTTTTCTGAGTTCTCGTGACACACTGAATTGTAAATTAACCAAATTATGTATGTATAATTAGCCTAAAATGTAATTGGTTAGCTTGTGATTTACTGTGTTATGAAAAGATAGCCATAAATTTAAAGCAGTGTAGAGTCAGGACCACAAGGAAGTGCATTGATGGTCTGTTAGAATAATGTGTTGTTACATAAGAATTTGATGTTTCCTACAAGTATTATGTTGAAGCTGGCCTTTAAGGAAGCTCTACAGATTATAATTCAGTAACAGAGTGTATTGGTATTAGAAATAGGCAGTGGAAGTTAACAGGTCATTTTCATTTCTTTAGGAAAAATAATATTTGCAACTATGTGATTATATGATTTATATAATATCTCACAGATATGGATGACCACCATGAAGCAAGGGATGAGATACGTTGTGCAACATCACAAGAGAAAACAAAAGTCAGAGGTAAGAATGATTGTTGTCCCTTTAATAGTAGCATCAATAAATATATTGGAATTTTGATTCCGGTACAAGCTAAACATTACAAGAGATGGAATTTTTAGTAATTCTTTTTTTAAAAAATCTAAAGTTGATAATGTAGAATCATTTCCCATTTTCAAAACTCCAATATTCAAAACTAAGCTTAAATTATTTTAAATGTAAAACTGATTGTAACATGAAGTAATATTGATATCTGGAAGTATTGTAGCACATAATACAGCAGTTTTGCTGAAGCTAACCTGGTCTGGTTCAGATAAGGTAGGAATGTTGCTTTTAATATTGGCTTTACTGTTTTCCTTTGATTTGTTTTAATGTTTTAATGCGCCATGTGTTGCCTATAGTTAATGAGTGATTAAAGTGAAATAACACATTTTTTAAGAAATTAGGATCTAAATATATTGTATATCAATTGCTATTCTGTGCTTGTATTCTAGATGGAAAAAAGGCAGAATGTACTAAATAAATCCATGTATTTATTTGCTTATTTTATTTAATTATTACTTACTTAATTTATGTTTCAGTCATTCAGTACTCTAAATAGCTGACAAGCATTTAAAGGAGTACCTAACACTAATGCTACTCAACATGTGACAAGGGAATTCTAATCAGTCTTCCTGTACTTTTTGTTTCTTTAGAGGAAAGTAAAAGGAAACGGAAGCGAAGCAGAAGCAGATCCTCCTCTATCTCTTCCTCTACATCTAGTTCTTCTACATCCTCTTCTTCAAGGTCTTCTTCCAGGTCTTCTGCCTCACAGAGCAGAAGCAGTTCAAGTAGCAGAGGTAGGATTATTTTGTTAGCATTATGAAATTCATTTTGTAGATGGTGCCTTTAACCAATACAGTTATTGATGTAGCAGAAGTAAATACAAGTGGTCCTCCCTAGATATCCATTTATTTAGCCACTGTTGGAAGTTACTGAAAGCCTGAACTTATGACTACTCTTCAAAGTCCTGGCTATTGCAGCGCTCCCACGGCAATATGAACAACATTCAGGCCCACTTGCTTTTATGACCACCCTTCCTGCTGTTGCCACACATACACGCATCCCTAACAGACAGTCATCTTTTCCTGCCACTCACCATCCTGGCTATGCACAGAGTAGGCACTGTGAAAATAACCTACAGAATGGTAACTGAGAGCAGACAGGTGTACATCATACACCACTAAGAGCTTCATGCTAGTGCAAAAGGTGAGCATGAAAAGTTCTGGCCAGCACACAAAGCCAGCAAAAGAAAGCAGGATTAGCAGGTATGTGAAAGGCAGGGCAGCAGCATGAAGGTAGCAGCCAAAAGGGAAGAGCTCGGGAGAAGATAGGTGGATGAGCGGAGTTGCAGTAGTTCTTTAGTTTCTTCCAAGAATGGCTTGGATCCAGGTGGGTCCTCACCTAATGACCGTATGGGATTCACTCAGTGACAGCAACTGGGATTGCCAGAATTGTTGTTGCTTAGCCATGTAGTCATGTGATACTCGCTTAGTGATCGGGCCGCTCGCTTAATCTTGGAGTTGCCAGTCCCAATTAGAATGGTTGAGGACTACCAGTAATGGATTTTCCACGAAAATATTCAAAAGTTGGGATTAAAAATGAAATATAAATATTTGTTATAATGAAATAATGCCAATATATTGAAGGGTACTGGTAAGTA